TGTACCAAACATTTTTTTTTATCAAGACAGACAAGAGAGTCTTTAAAGTGGCTATAATTTGACAATGTGAAAGGGTTTGTCACAGTGAACATAGAGAGAATTATCACGTGAATCTACAGCTCCTCTTAACTTTACAGAGATTTATAGAGTTTCAGTTTATTGTTTGCTGTCTGGCTACCACTCTTGGTTTTGGTTCACCCTCATCACTCTCACAGCATTCACTTCGATTTTTTTTCAGTTGAACAGGGATTTATTTTTCAGGGAAAAATCATTCTTAGTTGTTGGACATGAAATGTTACATGACAGGCACAAAGTGAGGTTTAATTAGATCTTTAGTTATTAAAGTCTGCAGTTTTTATGGAATTGTGCACCATTGAGGTCAAAACTTTACTTGAGTTTAACAGATGTTTTTTGACCTCACAATAGATGTAAAAATCAATAATTGATTGAATGTTTTTATACTCAGTATGGGGATATTTTTTCCTCCTCATTTCTGTTTGCTCGGACTGTCTGGACTCGGCCGGCTCTAAGGAGGTTGCTTTAGCGAGAAAAAAATGGTAGAGGATAGATAGACACACTGGAACATACACGTCAAAGTGCACTTTGCTTCTACTAAACTGAATACACTCTACAGTAAGGCTCTATTTAAAGTGTGTGTATGTGTCTGTGTGTTCGAGCGAGGCAGAGAGAAGAGCACTTTGCTGTCATTAGGTGAGATCATGTAGAGACGGGATGACCGGGTTAATTTTTAATGCCCAGCCTTTGGATATATAAAATATGTATTCAGCCCTTGTTGGACATGAGTCTTTATATCTCTCGTCCTCTCTGCCTCACTCGTCTTACTCAAGCCTCCAATTGCTCTTTTATTCACTCTTTTTTTAGCTCTGTCTTTGCCTATACTCTCTCTTTCAGCCTCTCGGCGTGTTTGGCCCGTGTTCACTCTCTGTCTGGTCTGTTTCTCTCTTGGCGTCAGTCCGCCTCTCTTCTCCCCACGAGTGTCTGCCCTGAGAACCAGACAGAGGAAAGGTGCCGTTTGATGATCCGGCTAGAAACAGCTCGCGGCGTGGCTGTTTTTCATTCTTTTTCTTCTATTTTTCTCCTCCCCCGGTGTGTCTCTGTCTGTTTGCTCTTCAGATTTAACAGCTTAGTAACACTATTGTCACAGATCAGCCGAAATCCTAAAGAGATGAAGACAGCCCACACACACACACACACACACACACACACACACACACACACACACACACACACACACACAGTGATGTTTTATCTAACACACACACCACAGGCAGGCCACCATGGAGACGATCACAGCTACACCCACAGGGAGACACACTTGATTTACAGCTTACACTTGTGTCACAGTGACATAACAGTAAACCTGAGCCAGCCAATAGGGACATGCTGTCTCAGAGATCACTGACAGCCGTGGTGATGTAACAAAGGTCACAGGGGACATCCACCTTACTGTGCTGTTTTTGAATACAGTGTTGCTAAAGTTACTTGAAATGTGTAATTAATTACTCATTTGCACATTGATAATTAAAATGAATAACTCAACAGCAAAAGTAAGTTAGTTTTGTTACTCAGCCCAGCTCCTCAAAGGTGCCTTTAAAGGACCAGTGTGTAAGAATTAGTGGCATCTAGCTATGAAGTTTTCCGTTTGCAACTAACTGAACGCAGCATCTGTATTTGACCTGAGAATGTGAACAGTCTGTGAAGTGTGTAGGAGAAACTACGGTGGCTGCGAAACTTGCGGCGTCTTTGGTTTATCCGTTTTGGGCTACTGTAGAAACATGGTGGTTCAACATGGCGGACTACAAGGTCTTTAGATTATTCTAAGGTAACAAAAACATAATTCCTATATTCAGGTGATTGTACACTAATGGAAACATACTTATGACCATTATATTACATTTCTGCCAATAGAGCCTCCTAAATTTTACACACTGGACCTTTAAATAACTCCATATCCTTTATACACATACCAAATGTTGTTTCACCAGGTGATTTGTGAATATAGGCATACCAGTGGCTAACGTTAGCAAACCAGCTAATAAATCACAACATTATAAGACCTTTTTTTCTGGTAGAGAAACTAACCGCCTCCCTACACCTCCAACTGTAACACGTTGCTATGTTCCTACTCAAAACTGAACAAAACATACATATGCTGATAGCATACTATGCTATTCTGTTTGTGTCTGGCAGTAAAAATGGCTGAACAACTGGGGATGGTGGTTAATTAAATATTGATATGATAATATGCGCTGTGTAGTGTGTTTGTGTGGTTAACATATATCTGAACTCCTTCTGTGTATCATGTAGTTGTTTCATTTTTAATTCTTCTTCATTGGTTGTTGCACTGACCTAAAACAGCGTGAAGTCCTTTATGCGTTTACTGAAATGATGTTTGATCGGTGTGTGACTTAAAGGCGCTCGTATTGTGGGCAGTCAAGCTCAAAGCCAAATCTTTCTATTCACGGTGCTGTTTCAGTTTTCACTGTTTTTGAGTTGTGACATTTACAGGAAATATCTGGTTTTGTGGCTCACCTACAATATACTGCAATTACCACACAGAAGAGATTGTTTACTGAGAAATGGAGCATGACTCACTAAGAAATGTATTCAAGCTATTACAGTGTTTACCAAACACAACATATGCACAGGAATTCATGTTTATGTAAGATTACTGAAGACAAGAAGTGATTGACAACCTAACAGGGTCATCTAAGGTGCCGATTTCATAGTCAGTATCATATTGCAGTCACAACTGACTCTTAATGAACCTAAAATAAAGGATAGGAAAGGATAGATGTGACTTGTACTTAGCGATATATGCTATTTGTACAAAATAAATGCATGACTGCTCTGCCTCAAAAGGAAGTTATTTTAAGAAAATTATCTTTGTTACTTCTTTCTACCATCAAGGCGCATGTAATATTTAACACAAAGGAGAAATTGTTGGTTTTAAGAGTTGCAGATCACTTGGAGATGAGAAAGACTTGGAGAAGAGAACCAAGAAAGACTTTAGGCTCCACTGACTTCATTAAAAATAGGCCCATTAAGATAAGAAAAAGGACAGGAAGTGTAGACACTGTTGGAGGTGGAGTAAGGAATGGTGGAGGATAGAAACTCTCAGGTCAATCTCCGCTAACATCCAGAAGACTATGGTGATGATGGGGGAGGTGTGTGTTGCACAATTACAGGTCAGAAAGGATTTCAATGAGCAGCATCCAACTGAGAGGGACATGATGGTGGTGAAGTAATTTGACTTAAAGAAATAGCAGGAATATTGCTTTATGTATTGTTTACTTGAGATGTTAACTTTCTTCTCTGCTGTCAAACTGATTTTTATGAAGGACCAAAAACTGACATAAACATCAATAAATAAATAAGGTAGAAATAACCCTTAACCCTAAATAAACACAGAAATAAATTTATAAAAACACAAACAGCCATTTTTGTTACTAAAATGTATTTAGTTTTTCTTTTATGTATGTATTTATTTATTTATGTTTATGTGATGTTTTGTTCTTCATAGAGTATGAGTGTTGCTTTAACTGAGTGCATAAATAGAGTATGGGCACGAACATATTGGACATCTGAGGTTCAAGGCCTTTAGTTTGACAGGCAGGAGTGCTGGAAGTGTCCTTCTGCTACGACCACTCAACTGCACAGTCAGCTGCTGTCAGTCACTTACCTTATGGTGCGTCTCAGCTGCAAATGTATGCACATAGAATTAACGAACAAAGCTAATGACTTGAGCTCATGACCTTAGCTTGTTTGCTGAGGAAGACTAAAACATACTAACCATTGCTGATGTGCCAACCGTTTGACGTGTCGGATGCATCTCTGCCACACTCGCAATCCTTTCCAGCTCAAACTAATGGGAAGTGAGATGCTGTTAGCTGACAATTTGAAACTCCTTGAGAGCAAAGAAGTGTGTGAAATGCTTTCATAGACAATAAAAACTATCAGGACAGCTGCGTCCTGCCGTGTAAAGCGCATCCACAACAAACCAGGTGCCATAGAGATGAAACGTGAGTTTATGGCGTACTGACTGATTAGTGTTGATTGGCAGTTTCCCATGTGGTTTTCCTGACAAGATGTGGCCAAAGAGACCGCTGTAGTCCTGTGTGTGTGTGTGTGTGTGTGTGTGTGTGTGTGTGTGTGTGTGTGTGTGTGTGTGTTTGTTTGTGTGTTGATGTGGACGCTTACGTGTGTCTCCAGTGGGGAGTAAATCACAACAAGGACAAACAGACGATTTCCTACTGAATCAATCAGTCTTGCTTAACTGAGCACAGAATCCACCTCCGTCAGCAGGTTATAGAGCAGTTATGGGACACACACGCACAAGCACTCACACATGCACATAAACACAAGCCTTGAGGGGATCTGTGATGCATATAATATGACAAAATGGCAATCTAGGGAACATTGACAGCTTTAGTCAATAGGTTAGGAAGGTGCAAATGGAGAGGGGATAGACACATGCAGCATACATGCATATATTTATATTTCCTTTTATATGTGTGTGTATGCATTAGTCACACCTTACATACATCTGAAAGTGTTGTTTTGTGCCCAGTTACGTACACTTAAGTATGAGAATCCTTGTGTGCATCCGCTTGTGATGAGTAGGTATTGATTGAGGAGCAGGTAATAAATGCAGAGTGATTATTGATCTCTCTGTGTCTGCACTGTGTTTATGAACTGCATGCAGACTGTATTTACTGGCATGTTAGGAGGATGGAATATAACCACAGCCGTATATCATCACCAAGAGACCTAAATGTTGCTGACGTATTTCTTTCCATTAACATGTCTTACCATGATAAAACTGCGCATGCATCACAGAAACATTACCCAAGAGGGGATTGTTTGCTGTGATTATGGCGCAGTGCTGCAGCTGGTATCAGATATTTATGTGATAAACATGGATGGAACGATACCTACCAGGATTTTCATTTTAATGTGTTTTATTTATGTATTTACAGAGAGACACCAAAGGCCAGTTCCTGTTGGACCATGTGTGTAACCACTACAACCTACTTGAGAAAGACTACTTTGGTATTCGATATGTGGACCCCGAGAAACAGAGGGTAACTATCCCACTCACATGCACAAGAACCAAAAGCATTAAGACTGAAGCTTACAACTATTTCTGTCAATCATTTAATCATTTTTAATGGAGTTATTTAGTCTACAAAATGTGTATAAAAACTGAAAATTCCATTCCCAATTTTAGATTTGCTTGTTTTGTCTGTCCAACAGTCCAAACTAAAAGATAGGCAGTTTAAAATGATATAAAAAGAGAAAGAGTAAAGCTAAAATCAGCAATTGACCCTTCCTCAGCCCCGCCCCTTTTTGAACCTTGGTCAACTGTCTCCTTTCCTGTACTTAGATATGCTATGTGCTATGCTCGATTATGTTGACTAAATTTTGAAGATGGTTAAAAGATAAAAGCCACATATATAGACAAATCTTAAGTTAGGAGAGAACATGCAAACTCCACACAGAAAGGCCCTGCGGCAGCCCAGATTTACACCCAGGACCTTCCTGCTCTGAGGCAAGTGTTAATAGCGCTAACAGACAGTGCTAACCAGTGAGCTCATACAAATTTTACCACATCAAAAGTTAGCAGAATCAAAACAACAACAAAATAAAATTAAAGAAAATAAAGAAACTGATGATCACACGTACTTACAGTAAACAGCTCCTCTGAGTCAGCATGGCTAAAATGGGATTGTTGGATATTAATCAGGAGGCACTCGGTACATTTTATTACAAGTTCAAGTGACAAATAATAACAAGAACAAGTCTCCATATTTCAAACATCCCACACACAGAAGAGACCAGATGCTTTGTCTCAACAGAAACTCAGTCAGGCTCTAGCTGCATTTAAAATGCAAAATGAGAAAGGAAAGGAAGCAAGCAAATATTAGCGAGACGTGTTACAGCACAAAAGGCACAGGACAAAAGATTGAGGTAAATAAAACTCTATAAGAGAATAAAGATTACAAACTGCAGTTTAAAACACTGCAAAGTTGTTGAAGTAACTAGTGTAGCAAGTGTTTTTATGTAATTGGATGGGTGCAGCCAATTTATGTTGTAATAGATTTGGAAAAAAATGTCCAAATGTGCCAAAGGGATAGAGGGCCAATAGGTAGCTTTCCTTCAAATGTTTAAAGGTCACCACTTCTCCCTTATAAGCACCACTGAGACGTTGATCAAGGCCCTTAACCCCCAACTGTTCCAGTGGAGCTGCTCAGTGGCCCAAAGGTCAGACTGTCGTACCGCCAATACAGCTTTACTCTTAATGAAACTTCATTAAATAAAAAAGTGTCATTATAAGAACATTGTATACTGTAATATAAATACAAATGTTAAGTTCATCCAGCAGGGTCAGAACAGTCAGTTTAGACAGTATATTGATCTTCTAATGACCAAAAATAGAAATACATCCAATGACGCACTTAAATGCATGTAATTTTCTGATATGATATTCGTCTTTGATGCACTGAAATTGCCTCAAATTGCTGAGGTTAAGCATTGTGTCATTCAGTTATTTGTCAAAAACATAATGAGATTTTTGATTTGGAAAAACTTGTGTTGTTGGATCTCACTGAAATGGTGATACACACTCCTTAAACTGATCTGCTCTAGAGGTCAGTGTCCTTACTTAGGGGTAACATTTGTCTTTTTTCCTCTTTCTTTCTCTCTCTCTGTCTCTCTCTGTGTCTCTCTCTCTCTGTGTCTCTCTATCTGTGTCTCTCAGCACTGGCTGGAGCCCAATAAGCCCGTGGTGAGGCAGATGAAGTGTAAGTGTCACTTCTGATCCCTCTGGTTTTCTGTGCGTTTTGCACTCGTGCGTACACATTCCTGTGTGTACATTTGTGTGTGCATGTTAGTGCCTCATTTGTCTCCAGAGAGATGCTCCAGTGTGAGGGGGTCAAGCTCTACAGCAAACGGACAGCACTGCAGGGACTCAGACAGAGTCACTCACGACAGCACACACTCACACGTGTTAAAGCCAGAGGATATTCAAAAAAGTCACAAAAAATTAAATCTGATGATCAGCATGAAACCTATTGCAGGGTTGGTCTATTGCAAGTCACACAAAAAGTCACTACCACCGGCTATATCCCTAGGGAACAATGCTCACATTACCATTTGCCATGAGTAGTGACAGAGCCAGACAATGTCGGACAGCATCTTTTTCTCAGAAACACCACAGGGAGACAAACAGAGACACAATAAATACAGACAAAGTGACAAGACCAGGGTTTCTCAGACACACAACAAACTGCCAGAGGGACAAGTGGCTCAAAGAGGAAATAAAATAACACACAAAATAAAAACACACAGATGTGGCAGGGGAGAATAAGACAGAGAACTCGATTGTCAAAGAAGTAAGGAGGTTGCCTGTTTACTTTTAAAGGCTCCTGACTCTTCTTCAGTGGTTCATTTTAAGTAGGTGGTGGATGTCACGCAGGTTGGCGTTTATGTCGGTTCGGTTGAGTTGTAAATGCTGACTAAAACTAAACAAAAAGCTACTTCAGGGAGAAAAGACAAACTCATTGTCTGTTGACCGCTGACTTTGTTGTGTTTTCCATTCTCTCTTAATGTTTACCTCTACTCTACTCTCTCTTACATCAATAGCGGTGTAAGATGTACTCCAACCTTTTACTTACATAAATAGTTTAAATAATACTCTGTTACAAGTAAAAGTCCTGCATTCAGAATATTACTTAAGTAAAGGTATTAGCATCAAAATATACTTAAAGTACGGTGATAAAAGTACACGTTGTGCATAATGGCCAATTTCAGAATCATATGTATAAAATCTAAGGAAAATAATTATTGATACATTAATGTGTACATCACTTTAATGTTGCAGCTGGAAAAGGTGGAGCTAATTATACACAGCTACATTATACACTAGAGTAACAGTATAAATGACCATAACATGAAGCTTTTTGTTGATTCTGGCGGCCCCTGTGGACAAAAATGGTAGTGTTTCCACCACGTCGTTTCATTGATTTTAGGAGGAATCCGGCCAAATACGACCCAGTGTCAGGCATGAAGAATAACTATATAGAAACAGACAAGACAAAGAGACTATGCTCTTGTTTGTTTGTCCTGTAGAGGCATCAGTGTTAAATTGAGGCTGTTTTAATAACCGGTTAAAAACTACTTGTACTTAGTTACACTCCACCACTGGCAGTCAATGTTGACAGTGACATACTCTAAGTAATGAAACATTATGGCATTGCATTGACATATTGGTGCGTTAAACCTCTTTGTGAATTATTGTGATTTATTATTTAAATCAAATGTTGCTTTGTCAGCCACCTTTTATACGAGGTGGTTGTTTGGAACAAAATCAAGAAGCAAACATTTTACTTGGAAGCTAATGAACTTATCCATCTCCTCTACATCTGCTTTCCAATTTTTACATTCTGTCTCGCCTTTCATCTTTCATTCTAATAAACTGTTGCCAAATCCTGATGTTGTTTATTTTATTTACTTAGCTGTAGTTAAACATTATTCTATCAAACGTCTGATAACAGTAATACTTTGCTCTTCGTCTACCTGTGAGATCAGCAAAAACGTGTCTGTGTCTGAAGTTCGGCCCCCCCTTTTAATGACTGTCCTGTTCTTTTTGTACTGCTATAAATTAATAAAGGAGCTATTAGCGGTGCATTCTGCTTCATCAGAACATGTGCGAGAGGACAGAAGGAGATGAGTGAAAATGAGAGATGGAGGAAGAGAGAAGGAGGGGAAAAGAGTGATTAAGAGGAAATGTGTCAGGGGGAGGTGGGGCTAATTCTGAAGGGACAGAGAGTAGATAGTGATAGATCATGTAGCTAAAGAAAGAAGTCAGATTCAGTGAGAAAAAGATGGAGAAAAGAAGAGATTGGTGAGACAGTTTGAGATGAGAGACGCTGACAGAGAGTGAAAGAAAGAAAAAGAGATGAGAGAGAGGGATGGAGGACGAGTGTTGAATAGATCTGAGTCGTACTGACACATCACTTCTCCCCATGGCAGGATTTACGATCAAATTAGGATGTGTTTTATTTTCTCTTTGTGCGTCCCAGCTTACGTGCATACGCGTCACATTTTATACGAGTGTGTGCACATACTATTGTGCAATTCACTTTCTCTGAAACCTTTGAAAAAAAAAAAAAAAAAGCATCTCAGTCCCTTAAGCCTGAGCAAAAAAAAAAAGCAGCTCGAATTCTTTGGGAGCGAGTGGGAGGATTGCGTCTTTCATATTGCTCAGCATGTATTATGTAGATGTGTGCTGTTTTTCATAGCTGGATAATACCGCAGAGGATCCCGCCATTAAAGACAGAGTGGTGAGGGCACTCTGTAAAGATTTCTGCTCCCATGTTAGATGATACTTTCTTCCGCCTCCTCTGCTGCGTCCTTTGTTTCTTCTCTGTCTCTTTGGTTTAAGTTTATGCTTGATGCTCCACATCAGAATAATTTCCTACATCAAATGATCCTTTGAAACTAATCCTTATCATAATTACACTCAAAATAACCCATATGTGTCAGTGGTGGAATGTAACTAAATACCTGTCGTACTTGAGTGTCTTCTTCTGAAGCCACTTTATACCTCTACTCCAAGACAATTCAGAGTTAAATATGTATACTTCACAACAATTATCTGGCAGCTTTAGTTACTAGTTATGTTATGAATTAAGATTTTTGCACACAAAACACATGAAAATACATTCATCCTGATTATGATTTAGATTAAAGACCACATCAGATGGCCTTTTTATCACACATTTCTAAAACTATCTATGTGCCACTGAAGCATGTTGACAGTTACCATAAAATCAAAAAAATTCTCCAATCTAAACAACAAACTACGTCAGTGTTTTTGTAATCTGATCCTCCATTTCAGTCTTCATCAGTGCCACCTATAGATCTGTGAATTCATAATTGGCTTATAATAGTTTCTTCTGATTCCTCTGAGGTTTCTATGCTATATATCGTTACATAATGCAAATGTGCTAACTTGAATGAGTAAACTTGAAATGTTTGTGTGTGTGTTTATGCCATTTTGTCAGATCTGTGAGACCCCAGGAGGGAGTTTAAGCTATTGCTGTCGTTTGATCCGAGCCCCACAGCCTATCATTGACTCTGTGTGTGTGTGTTACTGTTCATATTTAAATACCACTCTCAGCTCAAATTCTCTCCTCACACACACACACACACACACACACACACACACACACACACACACACACACACACACACAGAAATTAAATGCTTTAGGACTCAGATCAAAGGACCCCAGTTTAAGTGAGACTCTTTGTGCATGTGTGTGTGTGTGTGTTTGTGATGAGTAATTACTGTAATTATCAAATGACTAATCAGTATTAGAGGCATACCGCGATTTCTTTTTTTGTCTCCAACTTCTTTTTCTCTCCAGTTTTACATAATCCTCAATGTTCTGCTCCATTTCTTACTCTCTTCTTTTCTTTTATCTCTCTCCTCTCCTTTTTCTTCTCTTCTCCTCGTTGAAATCAGCTACTTTCCTTCTATAATTCTTCTCTCATCTTTCTCTTATGTTTCACTTCTTCATTTTCAAACTACCTTCTGTCTCTCTTCTTTAACTAATTTCTTTCTTCTTTTTTGCTTAAACTCATGAGTCTTCTCATGCTTGTGTCTCTCTTGTGTTCAGCAGCTCAGCAGCCGTATACGATGTGCTTCCGGGTCAAGTTTTATCCCAACGAGCCAATGAAAATCAAGGAGGAGCTCACCAGGTGAAAACAGACACAATGGGTGGTTTATGTGTGATGGAGTAAGAAGTTAGTGATAGAGAAAGTGTATAAAAGAACAATACACAGGGGAACCCAAATCTAACAGAGCTGAGTCCTTGCAGCAGCAACTCCGACCTGTGGCCCTTTGCTGCCTGTCGTAGTACTACTACAACATGTACTTACGGTGATTTCATGTTAATATGTTATAAGTTACAGCTTACTGAGTATCACCTCTACACCCATTTTTAGTAATCTCAGGCTACTTGTAATATGTTGCATTGCAAATGCATATATTATTAAAACAGTATGGTATCGTCGGTATGTCATTACATTATATATCCAACTTGTGGAATAACTGTTAATACAAACTTTATAATAACCTCCCTCTCCCTCCTCCCCCCAAAGACACTCACACACACACACACACACACACACACACACACACACACACACACACACACACACACACACACACACACACACAAACACCTTCTCTCGGGCCTGATAATTAGAGATGCACACTCAGCGGGGACTTTGTTTTCATGTTCTCCGTCCCATCTGAGCTGTAATGTCTCACTATATCTACGATCATTTCTCTCGTCCCTTTCTCCATCTCTGCTTTTCCATCTTTCTCTCTCTTTTCCATACTTTTCAGATCTCTCCGTCTCTACATAATTTCATCCCTGAGGTGTCTCCTCCTTCCCTTCTGTTAGTCTGTCTCTCTGTCCTCCTTCTTCCTCCCTGTAATCACAGCTCTTTCTCCACCCTCAGGTGTCTCTCCACATCTCTCAACTCATATTGGCATATCTCCCTGTCCTCTGCAACTTTTATTACTTAAAGGTGTTTTTGCACATCATCAATGTCAAAAACTTCCCTCTCTGTTTCCCTGCTTCCTCTTTCCTTGAGTTCGCCTTCAGTTTCTGTTGTGTCTCTCTAGAGTTTTCATTTATCATGCTTTTTTTACAACCATCTCCTTGCATTTCAACCATTTGACAAGACTGCATTTTTATGTCGTATCCATTTCTGTTCATTAGCTTGTCTCAAAGAAAAAAAACCTCAGAGTCCTCAGGGAGCACCATTGCACTACATTACTGCTGATGAGTTTGGAGTGGACATAGTAGTTAAAGTCGAGCTGCGTTTGGAAAGTTCAGAAGGAACTGCAGTCAGTGATGAAATCCAATGGAGTGCTCAAGTCTTTTTTGGGCAGGGACTTTTTTCATCCTCAAAATCCCAAAACTATTATGCTAATGTGTGTGTGTGTGTGTGTGTGTGTGTGTGTGTGTGTGTGTGTGTGTGTGTGTGTGTGTGTGTGCTACATGTGCTCCAGTTTGCAGGATGTTATTTGAAGTCTGCCATTTTCCCTCTCAACTTTTTCCCCCAAATATCAAAAACAGTGAAAAAACAACCCGGTATTTTTAGCAGTCCTATCTGTATTAGGTGATCCTGCACCTCACAGAGGGTAATTTACGTTTTATGTAGGGTGGCAGAAAGTATGATTGGGGAGGGCACTGGATGTGTGTGTAGCACATCTGACTTTCATGCAGGAGATTGTAGTTAAAGTCTTATTACAGACATACAGGTAATATTTGCCTTTTTTTCACCCACAATCTTTCCCTAACATAAACCATACAGTGTAGTTTCCATGTGCATAATGCTGAAAACAAGAATTTTAAATACATTGGCATTGAACGTACACTGATCAGCCATAAAATTATGCATCCCCATACGCAACAAGCTGCGATGCACAGTGTGTTCTGACACCTTTCTATCAGAACCAGCATTAACTTTTTCAGCAGTTTGAGCTACAGTAGCTCGTCTGTTGGATCGGACCACACGGGCCAGCCTTCACTCCACACGTGAGCCTATCAATGAGCCTTGGCCACCCATGACCCTGTCACAATTTGGCCCTTGTCACTCAAATCCTCACACTGCCCATTTTTCCTGCTTCTAACACATCAACTTTAAGGACAAAACGTTCACTTGCTGCCTAATATATCCCACCTATTGTGGTAGAATTAGCTCAGCTGTGAAACTGTTCTGTATGGATGTAACCTGCTCGGTGATCCCATAGTGAACAGTCAAAGTACTGCTGACCTACACTTATTACTAATTACTCATACGGTAAAACATAATGGGAATAACAAACCACAGAGTGGCAGAATAAATTACCGAAGGGGAGAGAGGAGAGAGAGAGAGAGAGAGAGAGAGAGAGTAGAAAAAAAATGTTTTTTCAAAGTTAATAGTGGGGACAGAAAATCAAATTTAAGAAACTGACAGTTTGGGAAGATTGAATACATTTTATAAAACTCAGTATTTTTGAGTCGTTATGACAGCTGATTTCATAAAGGCTGTGTTCATTGATTAAACCAGACAAGTGAGTGTGTTTAACACCTCTGATGAAGGACAGACTGAACTTCCTGTTACATAAAACAAGAAGCATATAAGAGACACTGTAACTGTAAGATTGAGGCAAGAGTTCAGGGAAGGAAACAGAAGATGAGAAGAAGAAGAAGAAGAGAGGAGGAATCTCTGCATGCGACAAAGAAGGGAACAGACCAAGGACCAAATTAAAAACAACCGAGAAGGTCATGTAATTATAGATAGCTGTGTGTTTTAGGCCAATTTGAGGAACCTCCACGAGGCTACAGTCTGCCTCTATAAATAAAACTATTTAGCGACAGCAGCAGGCACTCCATTCAATCTTTCATGCTTTCCTTCTGCTGCTCACTTGAGTTAGAAAACTAGTTTAATGAGTCCGTTGACCGCGGTGTTTTCGTCACCTCTGGAAACTCATCTGTATCCACGGCAACACATGTCCCCATAGTTTCAGCACCACTGTCGCTTCTCATCTCCTTGGTAACACTGGGACAAATCAGCATGTCAGCAGCATTGCTTAAACTTGCCTCCACTGAAGCCGTTTCCATGGTAACTACAGTACCAATCGCTGCTGTACGGTAGTTGTTTCCATAGCAATAGTTTCTCTAATTACCATAGTAACATAGCTAGATCATTATGAAAATCAAAGACTGTGGCTGTATTTGTTTCATGAATTTTACCCTTAATTATATGGAAATATTTGATATGAATACAACATGATATTATAATGATTTGTGTTACTTTATTGTATCGAACATCATGTAATTAAGACTCATTTTATCACAATAAATACTAAATGTGCAGCCGTGCATTGCCTTAACAAACAAACATTCACGTTGAGTCACAAACGTAAACAACATTTAGGTTAAGTCCGTTTTTTCTTTCTTCTTAACTGTGTGTCTGTTTGTCCAGGTATCTCCTGTACCTCCAGCTGAAGAGAGATATCTACCATGGTCGTCTCCTCTGTCCTTTTGCTGAAGCTGCATATCTGGGAGCCTGCATTGTACAGGGTGAGGTCTAGTGACAACCAGAGGATTTTATACTGACTCACTGACAGTGAATTTATTGGTGATTTAGCGTGTTGACAGTTATATTTGATTTTTAAGAGTTATACATGGGTACAAGCAGCAGCTCTACAGGTTTTTCCCCCTTGTTTTGCTGCATTTTCACTACTTTGAACAAAGTACAAACATTACTTTACATGGTATTGGTGATGGCCCCTGGCAGATTCATAATCTATAACTGTTTTTAATACTTTAGCAGTTTATCAGTAACTGCATTCTTACTGTAAATCTCTTGTCCAACATGTTAAAGGAGTTATGGCAGATGTTGGTAGCACATGGCCTGTTTAATTTTAGTGCTGAAATCATCTCAAATTTTGTCCTGGGGATGTCACACCTTCACATTTGACAAAGAAAAACTGCATATAGAAATATAAATATATAAAATCTGCATATATAACACACACAACACAACACATTACAAGTTGTAACATAACAGCCAAAAATTGAATAAGGTATTCAATTTACCTGGTAATCCTTTGTAGATAACGGAAGCCCTAAAGGGCCATGCATTCATACATTTTATTTCCTCCGTTTTCCCGTGATAACGAGTTAATTAATTTGAGATCTCAAGATAATGACTGTGATATGATAACTGCGGTCAAGCAGGCCGTTACTCTGATCTCCGTGGTCAAATCAGCCGCACTTAAATTTACAGCGTATTCACTTCAGATTTTCAAAATAAAGGTATTTAGAACAGTAAGCTATAATTCGAACCTACATTTAAAATAAAATATGTTACATTAAAGTGTTTCATGCGCCCATGATGAATAAAAAACATACTTAATATCAAGCATGTCTACTGCACCAATGTGAAGAAATGCCAAAACAAAAGTTGCATATTTGTATCTCCAAGTGGCATATTTTCACATATTTGAGGTACTGTAAAAACATATTGCTCAACAATTCCTGGCTATGGATGGTATATCTGACTTCTATACATATAAGAATACAAGTATACTTAATATCAAGCATTTCTATAGCACCAATGTGGAGAAATTCAATAATAAAAGTCCCATATTTGTACCTCCAGATTCAATATTTGACCATATTTGAGCTACTGTAAAAACACTTTGCTCAATAATTCCTGGCTATGGATGGTATATCTGACTTCTGCGCATCTAAGACTACAAGCATACTTAATATCAAGCATTTTTACTGCACCAATTTGGAGAAATTCAACAATAAAATTCCATATTTGTACCTGCTTTTACTGTACCTCAAATATAAGAAAATATGCCACTTGGAGATACAAATATGGAACTTTAGTTTTGGCATTTCTTCACATTGGTAGTAGATGTATTTTTATATCGTTTTATTTATATACTTGAGGTATACGTGGATACCTTTGTGTTTCACAGTTTAGAGTTCTGCATTTACATGTTGTAATTTGGCTATTTTGTGTTATTTATAAGAAATATAATTAAAAATCTCCCAGCAGATCATTGTTAAACAGCATTATGATCATGTGTCAAGCCTGATCTGTCGACCATGTTTCCTTTTATTTCTTTTTGGCCTACTCTTCCACCTAAACTTGTCATATATTAGTAAGTTAACAGTTAGGTACAGCTGCCAGTTACAGGGTGTAAATATTTAGTGCAACTAATTTGGTCCGAGCTGTTAAGATTTAGTGTTGTGTAACTCTAAATCTCCGCTTAATTATCATTTAAAGAATATCATAATTTAGTGTGAAAGAAGAGCTAGTGCAACCCGGCAATCTGGCAATCAAACCAATCAGTCCATTTGTCTGGTCTCTGCCTCATCAACTGACTACATTTCAACTCATTAGACTGGTAATCCTACATTTTAAAACACTACAAGAAGAAATAAGTAAGAATTTCTCTTCAGTTAATTAGCAGTAACAGTGCAGAGCCACTTGCTTTATTATGGATAAAGAGCTAAACTGCTGTATCATATGAATGAACCCTTCTGGCTCCCACACAAATCACTGAACTGTGCAAACACTCTCCGATTGGCTCATATCCCCAGAGAGCAGAGTGTGACTGGCTGCGTTATCTCAACCCAGAGTGTGTCTGCGTCGTATCATTGGCTGCTCTGATTAACGTCGGCAGGTCCCTGTCCCACTTTGTCAGGGTGTTGATTACGGAGCTGGAGAATAGGTTGAGGATTACTGTTTAATTAAACTCCAGGCAAGTATTTGATTTAACCTTTATTATGACTGCTAATTAAGAACGGGTTTAACCAAGAAATTAGTGTCTGTTAGGACTTTGTACTGGATTCAATAAGGGACATATTTATCTCTCAGGCTTTTTGGGTATATTTCCCCTGTGGAAACAAAACTATTATCAAAAAGATCTCTCTTTAAGCCTTTGTTTGGGTTTGAGCAACCAGCAGGTTTGCTGATGACAAAAAACTGTTACAGGAATAGTTTTGAGTTTTTTGGATGTTACGTTTTTGCTGTGCTTTTTTCTGGTGGAAAGTTAGATGAGAAGATTTATACCACTCATGCAACCAGCAGAGACTCCAGGAAGTTGCTGCTCCCGATATTTGTATGGATTAAATAAACAAGATATATTGTGTTAATTAATTAGCTTTGGAGGTTCTGGTAACTAGATCTTGTTGCCTTGGACTGAGCCAGGCTAGCTGTTTCCCTCTGTTTCCAGTCTTTATGCTAAGCTAAGCTCATCGACTGCTAACTCCAGCATCTTCTTTCCACCACAAAGCAAATAAGTATATTTCTCAAAATTGAACTGCATTTATTTAGCATGTTTAATTGCTACTGCTTGAAAATGTTTATCTGTTACTTTCAAACAGATATACACACGCACATTTAACCAGGGTTGTAGACCATTTTCACACTAATGTCACCCTCTGTCTTCAGCTGAGCTCGGGGACTACGACCCAGAGGAGCACCCATCAGACTACATCAGAGACTTCAAGCTGTTCCCTAAACAATCCCTCAAACTGGAGAGGAAGATTATAGAAATACACAAGAACGAGCTCAGGTAAAAGAGATGTGTGTGCATGTGAGTCTGCTGCGGTTGTTTGTTGTCTGCAGCGGTGTCTTTGTTATCACTTTACTGTTTGATTTTGGTGACAGGCGTGGATGCTCACTTCTGTGATCTGTTTTCAAAACATACAATTTCCTACTCTACAAACAACAAAGCACTTTCTGTCTTTCTGGCTAGAGACAAAATTGGATGATACCCAGACATTCGCAGAAGGTATTTCAGTTTAGATTCAGCTGAAAGTAAATGAAAACTGAAATTAATTTGCAGGGAAATGAGCATGAATTATTTATTTCAAGCTTGTTTTGGACACCTTGCTCGTTACTGCGAGATCTTTTCAGAATTTAAATTTGGATGAAAATCAACCTTACAGCATGGATGGAGTAAAACATGAGCTTAACCCAGACCTGATAAATTAGATGTCCTCTCCTTGTTCGAGGAGATAAATTGGCTGTGGAATACATTGCAATATAAGGAAGAAGCTGAATAAAGAAGAGCGGGACATTAATGCGTTTAGAGGTTTCTGCATAGATATACAGATGATTGAAAATAATCATAAACATGTGTTAAAGTTAATGTCCCACTCTTAATCTTAAACTGTACTCTGCACAGACAAAATAAGTTCCCTAAATCATAAGATCACATGCAGTAATGTACATGAAACCCCCTCCCTCGGGTTGTGTGTGTGTGTGTGTGTGTGTGTGTGTGTGTGTGTGTGTGTGTGTATTTGTATCATCGCTGCGGCTCATGAATCATGTTGTTAGGTTTGCGACCGTCACACTTACAGCGATTATAGAACATCAAAGACAAATCCTCCATTTCCCACAGCACAGAGGCAGATGATGCTCAGTGCCCTCCGTCTGCCCTGATGGGTCTGACGAACGGGATTAACAACATGTAGATTACTGCTGAGCCGCAGAAGAAGACTTCAGGTGGTTTACAAATAGGATGGGGTGGACTGTGTGTGTCTGTGGGTTGTACTCAAGCAGTTCTTTAATGGGTTTAGCATTTTACCTCTATTTGCATGTAGACACGTGTGTGTGCAGTTTTAATGTTGATTTATTTGTCTGGCGTCAGGTTGAGCAGCAATGTACATCATTCAGTTTCTTGACTTTGCAGCACTTCCACACTCCCACTGAGCATGTGACCTATTTTATGTGTCTGTTTGTGCAAAATGTTAAAAGACTATCCAAATATGGGCCAAATGTAATGATAGTAATAATTTAGTGAAACACACAGAAAAACTAAAGTTTTCATTGAAATTTGTACTGGAGAGAGCAACAAGAGTATTTATCTAATCTCATGTGGACATTGTGGTTTTCTCTCACTTTAAAGCCTATTGTCAGCTGTTGGTGTCAGTGCCCTCACCCTTCAGGCCATGAGTCCATATTTAGGATGGACACAAATCATTTGAGGACACGTAAAAGACACATAAGAAGTTCATAGTCACTCAATGCTGCTATTGTATGTACACACAAAAATAAAAAAATATATGAACTGTAGACTATAAGTGCCCTTTTTGAATTACCACAAATGTATTACCATACCTTGTATTTGTAAAGCACCAAATCATAAGACAAGTTATCTCAGGACACTTTTCAAATAGAGCAGGTCTATACCGTACTCCTTATAAAATGATTTACAGAGACCCAGTTCCCACCATGAGCAAGGACTTGGTGACCATGGCAAAAAAAAGTTGCTTTTACGAGGCAGAAACCTTGAGCAGATGATGACTAGAATGAAAACATCCATAATAATGATGATTTAGTTTCATAAACAATCACAACAGCACCAACATGTTGATTTTTGTACAAACTTCTCCTCTCCTCTCTTTTAGGGGCCAGTGTGCTGCATTAGCAGAGTTGAACATGCTCCAAAGGGCTCACAGCCTTGAAACGTATGGAGTTGACCCTCACCCATGCAAGGTAACATTAGTGAAGAATGTACACTTTAATCCAGTCTGGCTGTAAAACCTGCTGCTGTTGATATTGACACGGTTGCACTGATCAAAGTGATCCTAATTCACTCAAATTATTGTTGCATTTTGTTGATCATAGAAATATATCTCACTGTCTTAGAGACCCTCCACTTCATGTTTCCACCTTTGTCACAAATTGTTCACTGTATACGCAGTATGTACTGTGTGCTGTACATGTATGTTTACATACATAATGCTTTCAAACATAACTGCTGGTATATAATAATTTCCACACAGACCTTTAACTCATTTATTATACAAACTCATTGGGGCAGTTGCTCTGATCACGTGATACTGAAACTTATGGTTACGGTTATAGCAATTATTATTGCAGTCCTCTCGTAAGTAAGAAGTTACGCTCTCTGTTGTCTGTTTTCTGATGTTTTTTTATTTTTAATCTGCATCATTATAGATAAAAAGCTTATTTCAGTTGCAGCCATTCATGCACGGATGTAAATATTCACCAAAGTTGTTCATGCAGTTGTGTGGAAGTACAAGTACTAGCTTGTTGGTCTGTGTCACATACACACATATATACTCACTCGCCCTCTTTACTCTCTGCTTATTTGCCCTTAATTTAGATATTAAACAAACTACTATACACATGATTAACTTTACCGACAGCAGCCTTTCAGCAAACCTGAGAGTTCACCAAGAGAGGAGTGAGGATAGGTCAGTTTCCATCATCAGATCCAAGTCAGCTGCTAGTTTACATTTGCACCTTCGGAAAACATTATCCTGGTCAACAAAAGAGATTTGGTTTGCACAGAAACCACCACTTTCAGGAGTCAATATTCTTACTGACTGGTTAGAGAAAATCCTCAAGTCAATGTCATTAAATTTTTATCGTGAAGATCTACAGTTAGTACTATGGTTCCTTTGATAAAAATACAGCTTGTGCTTTATTCTTTTTAAGTATTTTTTGGGGCTTTTATTGCCTTTATTTGATAGGACAGCTGAAGACAGACAGGAAAGGGGGGCAGAGAGAGAGAGAGAGAGGGGATGACACGCAGCAAAGGGCTGCAGGTCAGATTCGAACCCTGGGCCACTGCAGCAAGGACTCAGCCTCGGTACATGGGTCGCCAGCTCTACCCACTGAGCTAACCAGGCACCCCATTGTGTTTTATTCTTAGTGTTTCTCTTGGACTGTTGTGACAGATGAGACAGACTGAATCTGATAAAGAAAATATTTTACAATTCCCTCATTCTCACCGTCATCCTTGAAACAGGGTCACCTCCTATGGAAAAGCGTGTCAAAGCATGCTGCGCAGATAAACAAGATACTTCAATTCTGTCTATTGGAGAGGACCCCCTTTATCTGCAGTGGAGCAGTGTTTTCAATTTTGTTTGCTGGAAATGGCTGTTATTGCTGGACCCGAAACATCATGCACGTGCAGATACGTGAAGATCAAGAATCAGAGAAAGTAAGCAAGACAATGTGGAGAATACAGAGTGATGATAGAGATACAGAGAGGCATGCCTGCAGAGGAAAGGAGGTCTACAGATGATGAGCAACGATGCGGGAGAGTGACAGGAACATATTATTGTGTTCCGCTCTTACTCTGTTGTTGATATTGGTTTCATTTCACCTCAATATATCAAACTGAGTGTAGCTGTTCTGTATTTTCTGTGCCTTGTTCTTGATGCCAGTTACTGCAAATTGGGGGTTGAAGTTTGAAGCAAACAAGTGATTTTGAGTAGGTGCCATTACCATGGAGATTATTGATGGCCCACTTGCCTCCCCGCTGTTAATCCACCTGTATCCTATATTGCCATGTGCTGCCTCTCACTCTGCATGTTGTGTGTGTGTGTGTGTGTGTGTGTGTGTTTGCAGGATTTTACAGGCTCCACAGCCTTTCTTGGGTTCACAGCCACAGGGTTTGTGGTCTTCCAGGGAAACAAGAGGATCCATCTCCTCAAATGGTACATAATTGTCCCTAATTCTTGAATATAAACCTGTAAGGATGGAAATTAAATGTGTAGCCTATATGAAATGTAATTATAACATACTCTCACTCTATGCTTCATCTCAAATAGAGCTAAATTTAATATTCACTTTTAGCAATTTAAAATGACTGAAATTGTCATGGCGGAGCTTTATTCTCTTGCACCCTGAATAAATCAGTTACTGTTAATATGACAGTCAAGTGTGTAACATTTAGGAGGATATATTGGTAGAAATTGAATATAATATCCATAGGCATGTTCTCATTAGTGTATAATCCTCTGAAAATAAGAATTGTGCTGGCCACCGTAGTTTCTCCTTCACACTTGGAAAGGGAGGGTGAAGCGAGTGAGTTTCAGTCTGCAACTATACGGCCAGATGCCACTTAATTCTACACACTGGTCCTTTAAACTCAATGAAACTTCATATTGAGATTATCATGATTCAATAATAACATTTAGCAGCTTCTGACAATGTTTTGGTTGTATGTTGTAACTGTTAGGTACATGATGACGTTCACTAATGCACCATGTATTAGAAGTGATGCCTTTGCACTCACAGCTTTTCTTAAGTAAAAGAACATAAGAATTAAGAACAAAATGTATTTTACGTATCAAAAACACTCGTTATGCAGTGTGAGCCTTTCTAGAGTGTTATACTGTTACATATGTTATGTAATTAGATTATTACGAATGTGTTAATGTTTGTGGGCATTTAATGTTGCAGCTGGTCAACAATTTCTTACTATTTATGTATTGTTTGGTAGTTTAATCTATAACAATGCTTCATATTTTAAGATGGTTATATGCTTTAATAGAAACTTAAATCTGAAATTCAACTAGCATATACGTAGCTGTAAAATAAAAGGTAGTGGAGTGAAAATAATAGAGTATTAATACCATAATGTAAGTACAAGTAAAGTACCACCAAGATTGTATTCAGCAGGTGTAAATGTAAACAAGCCTAAAAATGGTAAAACTCACTGTATGTCATGACTTTAAGGACACAGCTTTGAATTAAAAGTAGAATAATAATTTCCTTCAGTCAAATTTGTTTTTATTATTTATCTTTAACGCTGATCATGTTTTTAACTAATTCTTCTTTGCAGGAATGATGTTAGCAAGCTGAAGTTCGAAGGGAAAACCTTTTACGTCATTGGGATACAGAAAGAGGTGAGTGCAGTGTCCTCCCTCCTGCATCCACTTTCTCCTCTGAAGGGTAAAACTGAACAATAAAATGTGCTGTGTAGTTTCCTCCATCACGATGATGAATTGTGTAGTCTTGTGTACTAAAGCCGTCATCGTCATACTGACCTGTTAGATCTCAACCTCTAATATTTGTGGAGAGGAAAAAAGACTTTGATGTATATGCACAGTTAGTGTCTGTGTTCATTTGGATTAAGTTTCATGTTAGTGACTGCTTTTGACATCCAAGTGTACTGTACATCCTTTGTTCTCTTTCCTCCTGCCTTTCCTTTTCCCCTTTCTTCATCCGTGTAATGGTTACATCAGATAAATGTGCTATGAAACTGTACTGTTTGTCTATGTAATCCTGTCCACCATCACACACACTGTATATGTGTGTCGCTGTTTCAGATCTCCTTAACAGGCAGGATTCACTGTAACAGGATGGTGGGTGTGTTACAACTAACCTCCTCACTCACATTACGTGTCGACTGTGGCCCAAATATGAGACTCCTTCACTGCATACACGTTAGGACTTGAACAAATATAAATATTTATGACGTCTCTGCTTGAAACTTGACACAAACAGCGAAAACTTAAAGGCTTAAAATGTGTGTTAAATTACAACCAGAACAGGTGTCTTGCATTTGGGACACATGTTTCATCTGTATGCTCGATGTTTGTCATCCAGTCCGGAGCTGTGGTAGATTCTGAGCGATCTTTGGGTGCATTGTGTCTCAGATATGTACATACCACCCTTATTTTGCAAGAACAACAGCTGATTGTGTCCCACGTTGCTGTTTGACACATTAACTCATTAACTAATACTTTGTCTCACTGTAGTTAAAGCCAGGCTGCTCTTTAATCTTCCTATGAGCCAGTCGATCAGTCTCATAACTATTCTCTTACAGAAGTTCAAACCAGCTCTCTCATCTCTGCTTAACTTGTCGGTCTGTCTGCCTGTTTGTCTGTTCGGCAACTCATGAATGGCTGAAGATGCAGTTTTATCTTTGTGTTTCTGTCTCTTCTCTCTGTGTGTAAACATAGTCATCACTGGTGAGTAAATACAAGTAATAATAGCAGCACAAAACATTCTTCTACTTAAATCCTCAATTTGATGCCTCTCCCCACAGTCCTGCCCTCACCTCACTTTATGATTGGAGGAGCCTTTTTTCATCGTCTTTTTTATTATTTGTTTTTTCAGCGTTGTTTGTGTCATTTTGTTTTGTTTTAAAGTTGTCTGCATTGTCAGTTCATTCAGTTTATTTATTACTTTTCAGTTTTTAGCCCATTTATTTTGTGTCTTTGTCGCTGAAAATATTCATTTTTATGGTTTAAATTTAGATTATAATCACCATTCTGTGCAACTTTCCCCCATAAACTCATTGTCAAAATAAGCTTCACTGCTCCATTATCAGTAAACTATAGATTATGATGTATAATCTATAACTCTGTCCATTTTGTGTATTTATTGTCAGAAAATTTCATTCAACTTCCGTTTGACTGTATATGTGTGAGTGTGTGTGTGAGTGTATTCTAAGATTTTTCACTGTATTTTATCAGGATTTGAATCGTGTATTGATGTGTAGTTTGTTCTTCCACTGTGTGACAGGTCACTGCATGATTTCACTCTTTGCCCTCACCTCCGTTATTTAGCCTGGAACACATTAACTTAACACTCCCACTTTGAGCTGACGGCAACTTTTCATGGCTTTATGACAGTAACACTTGCCTGAAATGTCTTTTAAACAGCACTTTATCTATTTTATCATATTCTCTAGTCACCTATTGGTGTGCCAGCTTAGAAACAGATGTTAATGGTTGATTTAAATGGGTTTAACCAGGAGATAGCAGTTGAAAAGTCACCAGCAGATGATTGTATCCCATTGATTGAGTTATTGGAAACACAAGATGAAAGTTATTTCCATAAGTGCTGTTACTACAGTACATAAAAGCACCTTTGCATGTCAGTCAAAGTGGGACCAAAGGCAATTTGTTAATAAAAGTTTAATATGCAGTTCTGGTACACACACACACACACACACACATGGCCACTGCAGCACATGTGTGTAAATCACAGCTACATACCTAATATAACTGATGTGTGACACTGAGGGGGTTGAGCAATAAAGCTGACTTTAGGAAAAGGAAACAAACTGGATCAGTGCACAGCCGTAAACTGTGTGGTGAGGTTTTCTGAACCATTTTATGATCCAATCTTTTTCTTTTTTAAGATTTATAGGTATTGCGTACCATGGTTGTTGCTGTTTTACAGTAACTCACTCCCATGTTATTGATCTCAGTGTTTCCTCTCTCCCTCTCTCGCTCACCCTCTATCCTCGTTGTAGAGCAGCATTGATCCCGTATCTCGTGTTACCAGACACACAGGAGTGAAAATTAGACATTTACAAGAATATATCCCTCCTCTTAGTCCATAAAGACCTGTGTTCTGCAAGCTACAAGCCCTTTTTACTGCTGAACGCTTTGGCCAAATCACTATATCTGTCTCACATCTTGCTAAGCTTACAGCATTGGGTCTGTGGGTCAGCATTTTGCACAGCTCCCTCTTATCGTGTTCAGCACTTCTCTTGTCCTTATTCACACCTAATCCAATTTCTCATACTCACTGTCTTTCTCTCTCTATTTGTGTCTTTGTCCTTTTCTGTGCAGAAGAAACTGGTGTTGACATTTCACACCTCGACCCCTGCAGCGTGTAAGCACTTATGGAAGTGCGGGGTGGAGAACCAAGCCTTTTACAAGTGCGTCTACATACTCACACACACACACATACACACACACATTCAGGAAATGTATTGAGCTGCTCTTGAACTCAGAGACTCTGGAGACTGTGCAGAATTATTCCACCAAAAAATAAATATTTAATGTTGTAGGTAAAAAATTAGGAATGTGAGGAACATAGAATTATCATATATTATAAATCTCTTTATCACTTACAAGTGGTTAAATTGGCTTTCCTCCATATTCCTCCATGTTTCCTTTGATTTTCAGCACATTATCAGTCTTTTCACCTTATGTTCCTGCCTCTCTGTTGCTCTGCTTTAATGTGCTGCTGTCCTTCTCTGGGGAGCAGCTGATCGCTCCGAGGCCGTCGCTCTAAATATTGACTGACTATTGACACTGCCGGCGTGACAGGAATGGAAACAAGCTCGGGGTAAAGGCAAAAGTGACAGAATGGAGACTAAACTTTATTTTTGTCTGTGGTCGTGGTTGTGACGTGGTTGTGACAAAACACCACACATGAGCTCTTTGCCTCAGTCAGGGTTCAGTGGGAATATCAGCAAAGCAATATATTCCACCTGAACTCTTTTCCTCCTTGAACTACTCCTCGAACCACCGTGAGGGATCAGATCACAATGGGACAGATCGCTATAATACTGTTACGTTAACAGTCATTTCTACGGTCAAGAAGGACCTTTCAGTTTCAATCTTAAAGCCAAAATGTACAGCTGCAAAAATGTGTTGATTAATCAATTCGTTCATCAACAGTAATTTAATCGGCAACAATTTTGATAATCTGTTAACCGTTTTTGTCTGTTTTCAAGCAAAAATGCTGAACATTATCTAGTTTTCCTTGTCGTCCATCATAGTAAACTGAATAAATTTGGGGTTTTGATTGTTGGTCAGAGAAAACAAGACATTTAATGATGTCACAGTTTTCTGATATTTTATAGACCAAACAATTTAGTTAAAAAAAAAAAAACAATCTGCAGATTAATCAATAGTGAAAATAATCATTTCAGTGTTGGAGGGCAACTACATCTGCTGAGGAAGACTGTCTGACACAGTCCTTGAGTGGACGTTGAGTGGTGAAACTGACAACTGACAGGTTTAATTTTCGGGTCTCTCAAGACTTTAAGTGTTTACTCAGGAGTCAATGAAAATCATATCTGGGGACACAACATTTCCCACAAACACCCTGGATTATAAATTAACTCTGAATCATTAAAAATATGCATTTAAAATCTGAGAGGACCTCATGTGAGCCCAAAGGAAGACTGAAATAATGAAGACTTGGGGGAGCATTGGAAACAAACTACAAAGGAGGCAGTGTGAAGAAGGAACGGGACGAGAGGAACCACTGGCTTTAAACAGCGGCTCAGATGTAATGTGAAGACGTCAGGTTGAAGGAGACAAGATTTTCCAAGGGAACACAGAAATTTAAGGTTGCCTTGTGATTGATTTTGTCATGGTGCTCTTGCTCCTTCACACTGTCAATCACTCTGAAGGACCACCCCTCCATCTTCACTGCAGCCCTAATTTTTCCATACTGTTCACTCATATTTTCTTTTAATCTTTCCACATGATTTTCCTATGTTATATTTGCTGTATACTCTTTTATATAAAAAATAAATTACATGACATGTATGAAAGCTTACAAAAGGAAGACAAGGTTATGAAGTTATAAAAGCTTTCCGATAATAGCCCTTGCCTGTGTAACCCTGGGTATTGACTTCTTAATGACAGCAGCTCATGTGTCTCTGAGAGGCGGACAGAGAGGGAGTGGATGTCAGCTCGGATGTCAGACAAGCATCAGAGCAGCTTAATCAAATCAGAGTGAATTGAGTTTGTAAATGGCAGACAAGCAGAGCTTTGAGAACGTACCTCCCTCTCTCAGTCTGTCTGGCTCTGTCACACTGAGCAGAGCAGAGGTGTACGTTTGCACTCTGGGGTTTGGTTTCACATGATAAATGATCCTGAACCAAACATGAAGGTTTGACCTACAGCATAAACTTTAAAAATGGTGCACCTTGAAACACCCCCCTCTTTGTCACTCACTGCCAGCCTCTCACTGTTGGTACATTACCTAAAAGTAAAAAGACTTTGTGTCGCAGTTGCTTTGTAATAATGACGTTCTTTGTTTGCACCTGTTTTTGTTTCTTTCTCCCTCTCTCTGACAGGTGTGCAAAGTCAAGTCAGATAAAGACTGTTTCTAGCAGTAACATCTTCTTCAAAGGCAGCAGGTTCAGATACAGGTGAGACAGCATTCAAGTTAGTTTTCATAACACTTTTTCAGACAATACAGTGACAGACAGGATTTTGACAGTAAAAGATGCCTTAAAGGAAAGTGAGTGAGATTGAGAGTGTATGAAGAGAGCTGCAAAACAGAGACAAATAACTACAGTGATGCAGAAAAGGGGGAGATACAAAGATACAGAGTCAGCCACTTGAGATGTTTAATGTACCTTGATCCCATCAACATGCTGCTTCTCCTCTTTGCACATCAGCACCTACATCCAGCGTGATGGTTTCTGTGATTTACTGACCCTAATATTACAGGAAAGCCTCTGTCTAAGTCTGTTATTGAAACCATGTTAGCCCCGATTCTCCTCTCAGACAAAGCTCTTTAACAGGCTTACACTACAGTCCGCTCCATTTCATCAGCTAGCTAAAGCAGTTTGGCTTAAGGGCTCAACCATGAGTAACGGCATATGGTGGAATTTGTTATGAAATACGGGAATTGGTGCAATTTGTCCAAATGGAAACAGGAAAGAGATTTGTGGTCCACAAACGAAGGCAATTTTCATGAAGCAGAGTAGATCGGATCTTTATCAAGCTTGTGTTGGTTTAGCTGATTGCTGTTCATCGTACAGCATTTGCCAGTACAGGCCTATGTTTGCCAGCATGCAGTATTAATGTCCCTTGTACTATCAAGTGGATGCCTACCACCCCAGATGTATCATTTCACCCTCTAATTTACGACCTAACCATCAATCTCAGCAACAATAGACTAATGTGTGGGATGGTGGAGCCTGCTGGGTTGAAACCGAGTGGTCAGAGTCGCCCAACAATCAGACTAATGGAGCTACTGACACTTCCTGCTCAGCAGCACAGAAACAGCACTGATTATTAGCAACAACTGCAAGACTCTTCTGACGTCATCCTATCAGTCAGACTCTCATTTCAATTTGAAAATTTATATAAGTGTTTTAACACATAGACAGGTTTAGCAAAAAGTATTTTAAAACCATGCGAGTCTGACTGAAAGCCTGAGGAATTCAAGTAAATGTGCACAAGACAAAACAAGAAGTGATCGACTCTTTACTTTGTAAAGCTATTTGTGATTGAGTTTTAAACATGCAACATGGTAAAAGATAAATTACAGTAATTGTACAGCTTTGTCTTTGTTGTAATGAATGTGTGTTTCTCCCTATTAGTGGAAGAGTAGCCAAGGAGGTGATAGAAGCCAGCTCTAAGATTCAGAGAGAGCCACCAGAGGTGCGCAGGTAAGGACAAGTCAAAAATCACCTGCACTCTCTCACACAGTTAGAAAACTGTTATTAAAAATTAAGTTATTGCTTATTTACAATAATACCGCACTACTGATAGATATTACATGGAAACATCTTATTATCACCCATTTATGGGGCTCAAAATGTGCAAGGAAAGCTAGAGCAGACATACTTTCATAATGCAAGACAATACACACCTCAACGTAACGCACAAAGCAGTCAGTGTAGTTGATGTTTGTGTTTTCAGAGCCCAGTTTGGTCAGAGTCGAAGTTTTAACTCTCTGAGCCATAAAAACCTCATCATGAACATGGAACCGCTGGTACCTGCACTACCCTCCACCAACGAGTATGAAGAGACAGCCACAGATAATGGTAGGATATTACACAAACACACACACATGCCCTCCTGCTACGAACCTCTGGATAGTCACATGGGGTATCCCTGGTGCAGGAAGAAGCACATGCACAACCGTCAGACAGAAAGCGTTAATTGAGCAGCTGATGCTCCAATCCCTCCATCAGTCTCGTCTCCCTGGAGACACCAATCGCAGCATACTAAAAATACCCTTGCCATGATCCTCCATGAGTTTACCACCATGCCTGTGTGAGTGTGTGTGTCCATGTGTCTCACTTAGTGTGTGTTTTACAGAGGAAGATACACTTTGTGACCTCACAGAAACAGAGCCAGCTTATGTTATCATTAAGGAAAACTCAATTAGAAGTTATTTGTTTGGCTCCAAGGGGTCTGTCTCTGTTTAAGTTCTTGTATGCTTCTGTTCAGCTACATCAGCTGCAATGTGACTGTGAACCTTAGATATACTGTGTGTCTATGCATAATTGCCCTTCTCCACAATGTTTTTTTTTCCCAGTGTTTAGCTTTATTTCACAGCTTTTTCCACATTTAAATCATGTCTTTGATTATTTATAAAGCACTAATGCATACTCATAAGTTCTGCGCTATATCTTCCTTTTAGGCAGTGTAGCAAATTGAATAGTCTTTCAAAACAAGGTTTATGATGCAGAACAGTCAGCCCACTAAGAACTCAGAGGTCATATTTATCATATTTATCACATATAATATATTTCAACAGTTTGTTATTTCCTGGTAATTTCCTTTTTAATTCCTAGAATAGGTTTCCAGCAAAAACATCTTCATACAAATATAAATTATAGAGAAAATAATATAAAAGAAAAACTTAATTTAAATCCAAATGAATATATTAATTTACACTGAATTGCATTCTTGCTTGTAGACAAATTCACACGTTTTCATTTTATTGGCTGACTAAAAGACTCCAGGTTAAGCTAGCTTCATTAGAATAAATGAATGGAAAGTGTACTGTGTATTTACTCTATTATTAGAACTGTATTACATTATTTCTCTGAAGGTTTTAGGAGATTGTTTAAGAACTTATGCAGGAGTATGTAGCCATAGTGGTATAATGAGGATGGTTGCAGAGGGATATTTCAGTTAAGTTATTCATCAGCTGGCCTGTTGACACCTGGCTCACAGCTGAACTTGGATCAGTTCTCTCCCTGTGAGAGGGTAAAAGACTAGGGTCAGGTTTTTTCCCTTATGAGGTGATGTGGCTGAGCAGAGTAACACTGCCCAGGAGAAAACCCAATAAAGCAGCACAGAGTAGTTGGTATTTTAAGGTTTTATTCCCCAAACACTGTGCGATTCAGCTTTCCCTTGCGACATTTTTTGCATGTTATCGTTATTCTCTGTCGCTTTTTCTCTCCTTTATTATTCCTGACACTCTCCACTGCAACCTATTATCTGATTCAAGCATACATCTTGTGGTAAGGGAAGTGGACAGGGTTAAGGTTACACAAGACAAAACGAGAGCAGCGAGGAGAGAGAGGAGTTTAAAGAGATGGAGACAATGTGAGGGAGGGAGAACATGGACTATAGGGCTGAAAGAATAAACAAAGGTTAGGAGGGATGTTGGATGTTGGATGGGAGGAGTGTGTGTGTGTGGCAAAGCATGAGAAGGAAGTGAGGGTTATTATAACACAAAGGGAAGCTATGGTAGTCGGGAAGATCAGTCATGAATGTGTGTGTGAGTGTGCAGTGTGTATAAACGAAGCATAAAACCTTAAACCAAAGTAGCTGGTGGAGCCAGAAAGAGAGAAAAAAGAGACATTAATTGTGAAGCCATTTTAATACACTAAAGGTAACATTATACTTTAGTCTCTCTAATATTTGCACCGACTCCCATTCACTTCTATTGAAGCTCATACGACGGACAAATTCAAGCGTCCATTTCCTGTGTCAGCGCTATCTTGCAGGTCAGAGTCCAGCTTCGGCCAACAGAAACTCTGATGTACTTTGAAAATGAAGAAGTTATTATGAGTGCAGGGAAAGTTTGTTGAATGGAAATGTAATGCAACCGTACCTTAAGGCGCAATCTACTCTGGTACCGACCATTTCCTGATGGAAGTGGCAGTAGTTTTTCAAGCCCTGCATAGTTTCAGAAGATTCTCCTCTCAGGTTGAGCCACCACCAATCACAGGGTTAGAGCAGCTTATATCCTGAGAGACAGTACTGAGGGCAAAAAAAAGTGCTTAAACACTCACTGTTGCTTGTTTCTTTTTACAGTGTGCACTCACAGTACTATAGACAAGTGTATAAACCTTTTTATCAACTCAGTTCAGTTTCTATCACCTGGATTTTGGCAGCTAGACACAGTTTTGAGAGATTTTAGTGCGTAAATCCAACTGAAATAAAAGTGGAGGGTGAAACTGTAAATTATGCCCACAGAGAATAAAATCCTCACCTTGCAAAGAGCCTCTCCATACTGCTGAGTTATTGCTACTGGGTTGTATCTTTTCTTTTTCCGTCATCCATCTATTCATCCCCCCACACACCACAGGACACAAACCTTTGTCTTTCACAGACATTGAACCCTTCTTCTCCTATTACCTAACTCTTTCCTTCCATATTTTACACCCCATCCTCCTTTCTCCCTCCCTCCTGACACAGCGACCCGAGCCACGCTCTTTAGGCCTTCGCACATGTACAGTACAATCACGCTGTTGTGCCATCACTCTCTTTAAACTGCTGATGGACTTCTCTCTCTCAAGCCCCTCCTGACAGAATTTACAGCCACCCCCGTCGCTTTCTCCAGCCTCTCCTCCTCTTTCTTGCTCTCTCTGTCTGTCTCTCATCTTCCCTCATCACATTTAGAGGAAAATCAATTCTTCTTGGCTCAGGGTCAAAGAGCTGCAGCAGTGAGCATCTTGTCTGTCTCAGTTGGTTAGTTTGGGAGGGGCAGGAGGTAGTCATCAAATGAAGGGCCTCATGCACCACAGACAGGATACAGGCTGAGTAATGACACTAGATTCAATTTGAAAATGCCTTGTTTCCTACTGCAGTTACCGCTTGTATGCTACTAAATAAAATAGAAAACATTTTAGTTGTTTATTATTTTAAAATTTGTTTAACCCTGCAGCAGTAGAGGGTTAATAGGGTTAATCTTACATTTGTCTCGATTTGTGGCTTTGTCTTTAGTCTACAATCTCTAAGTTATTTAAAACAGAGAACAACTCACTGCTCTGAAAAGATACTAACATATTACTACATAATTACAGTTGAAGGCAAAGCACAAAGCCTCTCATCATATTCAAGTGGTGAGATGGAATGAATCGAGCCAACAAGGTTAATGGTGCACACTTTTGGACAGGGTCTCTTCAAAGGTATCCGTGGTTATTGTGTGAGGAATTGTTAAAAGCTTGAAAAGAGTTTGAGAGAGATGTTCAGATCAATCTTAAGGCCCAGATATTGTCCCAGAGTTTCACTCAGTGTAGTAATATGTAGTGGCTGTGCGGAGTAGTCGACGCAGTCACAACAAATTTGTGGTATGCGGATGTCTGCTCGAAATTGACCTTACACGGACCCTTTTGAATCCTTATGTATTCACAGATGCGCTAAGTATAATTCCTGCTTGACTGCGTCACCTTGTTACACCAGGCCTGTTGTTCTTCTTTCTCTTCTCTCTCTTTTTAAATTTGTTACACAAACGCTTCTGTCACTTTTTGTGTGTACAACTAAGTGGAACACCATGAAACAGATGGTCGTCCAAACTAGTTTGTTTCGAGGATATCCCCACCTTTAATCAGTCAAATGATGACTGTTTAAAGAAGTCTGCTGCAAGGACTTTGGGATAAAGTGTCCTCGAGATGGTCTAGGATCACCATCTATATTCAGAGCACTAATCTCAGCCATTAGAGGGGAAACAGGAAGCTGACCCAAGGTCAGTGCTGACCTTGTTCTGTTTGTACAGCCTGTCCCCTTCTTATCTACCAAAATCCATGCACATACTCACACACACACGCACGCACACACAAACTGGTCATTCTTTGGCTAAGGCTATAACTCATGGATGTTTCATGGGGATTAGACTTCATGGCTCACATTTGAGGCTACATCCACCCTCCTGCCACCACTAAACATGACAAATTGGACCCTGGGAGTGATGAAACAAGTATTCTTGTTTCATCAAACAAACTACTGTACAGTTAAATTCATCATCAAAAATGAGCCTGAAGGAGTGTATTTCAATGAATGAAGTCTGTCTCTGCCTGCCAGTGCCTAAGTGTAACATATTTACTGTAGGGCAGCAGAAACAGAAATAAATGTGACTGATATGAAGACAGAGATAAAGAAAGACTAGCAGAGAGGAAAAGAAAGTGATCCCCATCCCATCCTGGGTCAGGCCTGCCCCTCTGTAATCAGAGTTAGATTAGCTGCCCCTCTGCAGTCAGGACCACCTGGTTATATATAGAAACTGCAGCTTTGGGCCTGATCCTCCTCTAATGCCCCTCCACTCTTTGTTAACATCGCTGACATTCACAGGAGGGTCCGCCATGTCTGTGCATCAGAGAGAGAGAGAGAGAGAGAGAGAGAGAGAGAGAGAGAGAGAGAGAGAGAGAGAGAGAATGCGTCTGGTGTATGTCTCTCACCATCTCTCTCAGTCTGTGTGTGTGTGTTTGTACCCATCTCAGCCTCAGGGCTCAGCTGGCAGGCCGGTCAGTCAGGGTGTGGGGGTCTTACCGCAGACAGCTGGGTTTGAGGTTTGTCATCAGACTGAATGATGGAGGTTCTTGAGCACAGAAATGGCAGCGATGTTGGAGGTGGCCTCATGCAGAGCAGTTTGGAGTTAGGAGTTAGCGACCAACCCAACATAGGCGGTGACACCCTGAGTTGTGGGAGCCAGGGCAGGGCAGGGGTACTCGGGCTGGACATGACCCCAGAGAGGCTGGAGAGTGAGGGAATGGAGGAGGGACAGGCCGGGCCTCTTGAAGTATTCCACCCCGGGGTGTCCACAGATGAGCGGGCATCATCGATCGTAGTGGCCGAGGCCTTGAGGTGTCAGGTGAAGATAACAACACGGCGAAACCTTCATCTACGTATAGCCAATCACACGGCCCGGGATGTTTATGTACGGCTGGTGGGACATGGGGGCCGCATCGCTGAAATCAATACTGGACTTCCGAGAAATACACTGGAACAGAGTAAGAGTGGGTGACAGAAATTTGTTAGAAGTACACTGAGACACGTTTATTGTAGCATCACTTTAGTTATTATTCAGTTTAGTTGCATTCAGTGATGTTTCATTGAACTGTGCGCTTACTCAAGATTTCACATGAAAACTGGACTCAATGACAAAACCTGCTTTCCATCTTTCTGCTGTGATGCAGCTTTAAACATGTATTTATACATTTAAATCAGTATCAAAGAGGTGAAATGTGCAGGAAATGTGGGAGCTAGGTTAGCCCAGTATTTGGGTTTCCAGGTTTGTTGTGGCAACTGCACGGTCCAAACTGCAAAAGTAATCTGTCAAATATGCTGAGACTCTCAAGAGACCTCTTCAAAGTGTGTGTGTGTGTGTGTGTGTGTGTGTGTGTGTGTGTGTGTGTGTGTGTGTGTGTGTGTGTGTGTGTGCATGTGTGTGCATGTGTGTGTGTGCGTGTGTGTGCGTGTGTGTGTGTGTGTGTGTGCACAGCATGAACAAACGTGTTGAAGGAACTACATATAATTCACTCTATTCATTAAGAAACCATTAATAGCTACAGTATAAGACAATGCTTTAGCATATCATGTGTTCTGTCTGGAAGTGTAAAATATAGTGAGAGAGGTGGCAAACAACAACAGACTGAGGGTTTCAGAAACACATTTTGAATATTTGGATGGCAGATTTGTGAATGAAAGTTTGAATGGAGCCCCACGCTGTTACAACACTGAATAATCAGCTCAAATGTTGGTTAATTTCATGCTTTTTAAGTTTTAAGACTGTTAATGAGATGGAAAAACTTTTGTGACTCAAAACAAACAAACAAATTTAAGAATAAAGGTTTGAGAAAATATGATACTGGTTTTGTTCAATATCAGAAATAATTAGATTTTAGTAACTGCACTCCCTCTATTCTATGTGAAATATGTTTTAAGGAATATTTACAGGGGCTTCAGTGTCACTTACTGGCCTTGTTTGGTAGTACCCGTGTTGGCTGACCTCAATCCTGTCCTTGCCCCCTGACTCTGAATCTTCATCAGGGTTAGGAGTGATGCAACTGTACAGTGAGGACGCATATTAGAGGTTAGTCCAATGTAATTAGAGGTGTACATAAGTGGAGAAAGTATGCAGTTACTGTGAAATATCACTGAATCACATGTTTACCATTGTTGCATTGTTGATGCCAAAGCGTTCTTAACATGTAATACAGTGCATCCTTTAACTTTATAGCCTCTTTTCTAACTTGACTATCAGGAATTTTGCTTCAGTTGCACCAGAAATCAATCAAATTGACAAGAAGAGCTGAGTAAACACACAGTACAGTAAATGATGGCTCTATTCTTGCCCAACATGCAGAGTTGTACCGATAAATATACTTTAGAGGTGTTCTGGTGTTGATGATGCGGCTGCATGATAAATAGGTCTGTCAACACTTGCATAACATGGGAAAACCCTGCTCAGTGTGTGTATGAGTGTGTCTTTTCCTGTGTGTGTGTATGGGGCCGCACAGGAATCTAGCGCCTCTTAGTGTGAATCACCTCATCAAAGTAGAGGCTTATGTCTGAGCTGACGGCACAGAAAGCCAGCAGTATTATAAATGAGAAAACAGCAACAGCAAAGTAACTAACTCTTTTTTGAAATATAAAAAAGTTTGTATATGAGGTCAGGTTTATCATTATTATTATTCATGATGTGAAATCAACATTGTTACCATTTTAATATATATTATATATTCTGATACAGTGTAATTTTAATTCTTGGTAGCTGGACTGCACATATGTTGTGAATGATGTGTTTCCTTTAACAGTTTATAGTGAGTTTAAAATGGATTTTCTCAACAATCATAAGACTGACTGAATGATCATCTACAAACAGTCTGTGATAAGGTGAATATGCAAAGGGAAGAAGGACTAATTTAAAAAATATTTTGCATTTACATCAACTAGCTTCTCTAACTCAATTCAGTAGCTATAATACATTGAACTGATTAAAAACAGTGTTTGCTGCTCTCTGTCCTGCTGTTATTACACACTTGTTTGAGTGAGCCGCGAGCCCTCGACTTGCTCATAAACTCCTTCTGTCGAGCCCTGACGCTCAGCCCTCAAGCGACCAGTGTAGTCTTTGTTAAAGGCAGCTAAAAAACATAAATACTGAATAAAAAACAATATTAGATTGTTGTTTTTTAAAATGGTCGTCTTCTTCTCTAGACATGTGAAGTAAGCCACACAGCAGACTGTTGGGAAAGGATCTGATCCAAGGCTGGAGTTATTAGCTTAATTACAAATGTTAATTTGGCTCTCTGTCTTTTTTCCACCCATCATCCACTTATCCTCGAGGGTCGCTTGTTGAGATTGGGGCAAGAGGGGGGGCTACACCCTGGACAGGTCAGGTTACATTAATTGGCAACTCTAATTTGCCCGTAGGTGTGAATGTCAGCGTGAATGGTTGTCCGTCTCTGTGTGACTGACCTGTCCACAGTGTACCGCACCGCTGGCTCAATGTCAGCTGGGATTGGCTCCAACCCAAGTTTTTTTTAAAACATGGAGTAAAATTCTTTTTATTCTTCTTCATTAATGCAGCAACAATAACACATTAAGCATGGGCCCATCATTTTGAGGAGGACCTGAGACCCAAGGGTGAAGATTTTCCTTTGATTTGTATATTTTAATAAATTTGTATTCTGTTACAGTTAGCTCCTGTATGTGGTGTGGAACTGTGAGAAGGTGAATTGTGATAAATTCAGGCTATTACTGATGCAATCTTTTACTGAAGCTGCAATCAGTAATGTTCAAATGTTGAATTTTTATGTTTATTTTCATCCCTCTAGTTCCAGCTTCCTCACTTCTGGTTTTGCTCCTCTCATTTTTTTCCTGCTTCACTGTTTTCAAGTTTATTGCCCCTCTCTCTGAGTTCAGTCGCTCGTTGCCTTTTTGCTGACTCTGTTTCCATGGTAGCTGTCACCACTCGCTCCTCAGGTTTTCCGCTGCCTCCCCCTCTGTCCTTCTTTAATTTCTCTCAACTCTTATTTGAATCAGTTGGCATGGTAACTGATTAGTCAGTTTGGCCTTGAGTTTCTGTGGCTGATTTTATGACTGTTTTGATAAATGGATGAAAAGAGAATTATGAGGTTGTGCTTCGCAGCAAAACAAACACACGTCAGTATGACTTCAATATTTCAACCTCTCTTTCTGATCGACTACAGAAATAAATCTTTAATGTTTGATTGCCGTTGACTTTGGTTGTGGTTTTACATTTAGTTAGAAAGAGGACGACTGTTTTACTTCATGCACTTAGACCTGTTGCCTAATAGAGTTAAAATTATGCAATGAAACGTACTGTATTCTGAAAAAAGGCTATTTCTGTGTGTGTGTGTGTGTGTGTGTGTCTGTGTGTGTCTGTGTGTGTGTGTGTGTGTGTGTGTGTGTGTGTGTGTGTGTGTGTGTGTGTGTGTGTGTGTGTGTGTAGGTGTGCATGTGATCACGAGTCTGGATTAGAGAGGTGTTGACAAGCTGAGTCATATGTCACTGGACATTTACCCCCCAGCTTCTACTTAATCCATAGCAGGAAGACAGCTGGACTTGTTTTTTAACATTCACACATACTGTACACACACACATACACACACACACACACACACACACACACACACACACACACACACAGTTCATATGCAGATTCATCGTGTGCACTGGCACATCAGTGATGTCTAAGAAACTCGTCACTAAATCAACACCTCAGGGTGAAGTGCACGCTGCATCGTTCCCTCTGTCGTCAGGCTACGTCACATCAGTGGGAATGACTGTTACACCGCAGCATTTTTTTATTTTAATTGAGATAAATGGAAAACAAACACAATGATAGTTCAAACTGTATCATGAAGTCCGTCACAGCCTAAACTGTATTACTCCCACAGTTAATGTCCCCTGCCAGCATCCGTATAGGACGAGTCCAATGACTTAAAGCTGTGACACCACATACACTTGCAGATGAAAAAACACACACACACACACACACACACACACACACACACACACACACACACACACACACACACACACATAAACATCTATAACCATTTTAGTATCGGTCAACTAATAGTAAAATTGCCCTCTCATTTCAGGGTTGAAGTAAGGTTGGGTATTTACTGAGCAACATTAGACTGTTAATATTTCGCTTTCAGTATGTTGGGTGATATCTGTGGGTGCTCCATCCTTAAGAAATACAGAAATGCCATCATGTGGCTAATGTGTTCAACTGCAGCGTAAAAAGCTGTAGGTTAGAGTGACACATTCACTCTGAACGTGGACACTATTGTCCCACACTGGAGAACACAACAGACATTAAGAAACATGCTGATAATTTGAAAAAGTCAAGTGATTGTTGATAAAGGTGCAGCAGCTCAGAAACATATAGTAATAATTTCTTACTATAAATAAATAAAGTCACAGTTAAATTTACTTCTTACTTCTCCTTTAGCTGTGTAGCATCCTGTTTAAAAAGAAAGACGTGTGATATTGTGGTAATTATTTGCATACTGTAAACTGATGTACATTATACTATAGTATTAGTTGGAATATGAATGTGGGACAATGTAGAAATATTATCACTAATGGCACATATATAAATAAAGAATACATTTTTTACCAGTAATATTTAATCCCTTCAGTCTGACTCATGATAATGCTGTTTCACCGTATTTTGCTTTCTCATAAGAACTCAGAAACTATTTTTGATTGGTTTTATTCTCACATTAATCTAAGTTGTCATTGACTCATTAAACTGTATGATCTAATGTTTCTTCTGTCTTCACCAGGTGTTGTTGCTGTGAAGGACTCTGCCCCCTTGTCTCCTCTCAAACCTTCAGCCGGAACTGCAGACGCAGAGCAACAAGGTACTGAACGAGGAAACTCTGCTGTAGGCAACGACCTGCAGCCTCCCCGTGTTTCCATGGAAACTTCAAATCTCCGACCTCAGACGCCCAAAGCTGAAGATGAAGTGGAGGAAGATGACGAGGCCAGCGGCCCACTCACCATTTCTGAGCTTGTCTACAGGTCTGTAGAGGTTTTATAACAAATTATTTAAAGCAGCTATAATCAATATTTTTATATTAATTTGCTTTGTAGCTTCTACGGTGGCCCTAAGAGCTCAAAGCACTGCAACTTAAAGAAAACAGCAAACACAATCAAATATAGAAAACAAACTGCAAACACGCAAATAGCAGAGACAACAATGAAAACTGTTTCCAAGGGACACTAAAAAGTGATGGGATACACTTGTTGTGATTCATGAAGTCTCTGTTCTGCTTTTTCTTTTGGTGGCACAAGCTTGTCCCTGCTGTGCCCAGTTCCCTGGAAACCACTTCTGTTGTTGTCTGAGCGATTTGCTTTCTGTATTTTCTTGTGTTTTCTCACTTTGAGGCATTTTTTTTTTAATGCATGTCGCCAAATTTGTGAATATGTTTGCTTAATTTGCTTTTGTTTTGTCTATTTGCCTGTGTTTTCTTAAGCTGCTGTGTGTTGAGCTCTCAGTTCATTGTTCTGGTTTTTCCAGCCTGCAACTTTACTGTTTTGGTTTACTTTCACTGCTCTCATAGTGTTGGGTTTTTTGGCCACAGCAGGCAGCTGTTTTCTGTGAAGAAGCTCAAAGTGAAACCCCACTGTACACTACCTGCTCAACAGCAAACAGAAGACAAAGACAAAAGTTATAAACTGGTGAACATAGTGAAACATTTAGCAGCTAAGAGACAGATATTTCCCTCAGGAGTTGGTGGAGACTGAATATTGGAGTCCCATTAGTTGGGTGAGAACAAACACGGCTCTGATGTTGCACCATATCTGCTGGGTGTGTGAATAAGCCACTGCTTGCAAAAAAATTCACCATATCAGTGTAAAGTGTGATAATATGTCAGTGATGTGTTTACAGCTTGTTTCTTAATTCATAATTAAGTCATTTCTGGTACTTTGATGGAAGAGAGAAGACCGAAGAAATAATCTATTTAATACATAAACCACCAGAACCACTTCTCTGGAGGTTGTCAACAGCCCTTCTAGAGCATGAAAGCACATTGATGCTTTATTTACTAGAAATCAATAAAACATAGGTTAACAGTGGATATACCACAGAAGTGGCTTCATGTTTATCCCCAGTAAATAACAAATTAATAGTTAACAGTGGTAGATAACAGTATAAGAAATAAATTGACAGTCACTTATAAAAGTGCTTTGATATCTCCCTTTGAGAAATGACCTAAATGTCTTTAAATATCTTCCCTCACTTCTCCAGCCCCTGCGCCAGCATGCTTCCCACCCCAGTGGATGACAGTCAGGGAGGCGTCGACTTGCTCTTCTCCTCTCCAGTGCAGAGCCCTGCCAGACTGCTGAGGGAGCTCCATGCAGACCCTGACATCCAGGCCCAGCTGGAGGCTGAGAGGGAGCGAGATCGGGTCTATGAACGCACCCGACTGGCTGCTAGAAGTCGAATGGGTGGGGTCCTGAGCAGCAGCCTGCGCCTGCTGTCGTCCAATGAGAGAGTCAACGCATGTGTGCTGAGTGTGGCCCGCTTCGTTGCCGTGGTAATGGGCGTCCTGCTCGTCACTGTACCCACACTGCTGCTACTGCTTGAGTCAGACATCGACGTGTCGTTCCTCCACGAGATCCGCCAGACGCCAGAGTTTGAGCAGTTTCACTATGAGTATTACTGCCCACTTCGGCGCTGGATCCTGTGTAGGATCAGCATGGCCATGGAGAACATCTGGTCAGACTGAAGAGGAGAAGGAGGAGAGGGGAAAGGAGAGAGTGAGGAGTCACAAAAATGCCCAAATGTCTGTCTTAACATGTAATTTCATCTTGTCTTAACAACTGGTGTCTCTTGACATAAAAAGAGCCAGTCTGCCAATGGGATGAAATGAATTCACTTGTTTAAGATCAAATTCAATTTATTTTATGAGCGGGTACACAAAACTGTGGTAGGCTTTATCATAAATAGTCAGCGTTCCCAGGATGAGGACGTCTCTGTTTGAGTTACATTGAAACAAGTACATTTGTTTCACCTGTTTGGCAGCATAATTTACTGTCTCAAAGAAGAGAGAAATAAGATTTTAAACATAGGATCCAATCACTTGTTAAGATAGACACTTCTGGCGGTGATGAACTGAAAAGAAAGAGGACAAGAAAAGCTGCAAGTGCTCAAGGGAGAACCTGTTGAAGGGAGAGATTGCCAGGGTCAGAGAAATAGTCACGACAAGATTCGGAAAAGAAAAAAGTGGTTGGTTTGGTTTTAATAGAAGTTTTAATGGTCTGTTCACTCCTGATGCTGACAAGCTGTTGCAAAGACTCTTTGGTAAAAATCACCAACTATTCTGATTGGTTCTCGCCCTCAGAGCGGAGCACCTGATTGGTCCCAGAGCCTGTCAGTCATGACGGAGTTGGCAGGGACAGAAAGAGAAATGATTTATTTGTCACTGAACGCAACAATAGCCACAGTCAGAGGTACAATATATATATTTAAAAAGAAAAGAGAAATATTGATAATTAATACCGATCTTAAATAAGTTGTTTTTAACGTTTTGTACATTTTTATGTGATCCAGAACTTTCAGGAATTTTTCAGTCAGAGGATCTACTTTGAGCTTATTTTGAAATTAAGAGTTTACAAAAGATTACAAAAAAAAGCAAATTTATTGAAGTTTATCGGGGTGATGGGTGTTGAGAAAATTTTAAGCTATTTTTTAAGACTACCGTCAGCGTTTGTTGACTCGGTAGCACCCTGGGTTTTTCCTACAGAGGCTATAGCACAAATATTTTACACAGACCACAGATTACAGCTGTTTCAGATTATGTGATGTCATTTTGGAAACAGGAGGGTGGCAACAGAGAAACTTTAGTCTGTTTGTGATGATGTGTTTTGTTGAACTTCTAAACGTCTTCAGAGCTAAGTGTAAACTCACTAATCAAGGCATCTTTCAGTGTGTTTTAAGACAGTTTTAACATAAAGCGTATAGGGAAGAAAAGGTTATTTGTGGGCTTATGAGAAGAAGTGGAAAATAGTGTTGTTTGTCAATGGTGTGGAGCTCTGTGTGTGTTTCAGATGGATTTGAAGTGATGGTGTATTCAAAATGCCACCGAGGAACAGGTGTCCAACCACACTGCTGGTGCGTGTCACACAAATGGACAAGTGATGCGTTTAATGGTCTAAATCTCTCATACAGGTCGCTCTCTGGTCGTTGATGTTTTGATCAGACCGAATGAACGTGGTAGGAGTACAGTTGCAGGTATTTAACTTCAGATCAGCATTTATGTCACCAAATCAAATTAGAAATGATTTGTAGCCATTTCCAAGAGGATCTGTGATAACATTATGTTGAGCATCCTGTGTTTATCATTTAAATGACTGCAACTGTTTACACCCTTAAACAGAGTACAGGACGGTAATTTTCTCATTTTTACGTCAGTGACCGACAAGTTGTCAGGAGTTGTGGATGGGGAATATGTTTCAAAGTTTGAGTAGATATAAAGATGTGTTCATGGACATTCACTGTTGATATGGTTGAGGTTCCTAAAAAGTTGGGAGTCAAAGATGAACAATTTCAAACACAAAACTGAGAAGGGATGCAAAAACAAGATTTAAAACATCTTTATGTGGTACACAAAATTAGAACAAATAATGAACTTTACATTGTCACTTTATAAAGTTAATTTGTGTCAAAATATGTTGGTCTTTGTTTTACAGTATATAATTTTTATCTATTTTGACAATACACAAAGGTCACAGTGTGAAACTGAGACGTAACCTTGTGACTTAATCAGACCTGTAGCTCTGATGAGAAATGCATCAGTCACTTTTGGGAACTGACAGCCATCGCCATGTGATTGTTCATCGTATAGACAGTGCCTGTCAGTTGTAGTATAGAGTGGCTCTGAATGGAGAGGAGAACAGAGAGGTGCAGCAGTGAGAAATGACTTGAGATCAAATGAAAACAGATGTTTTATTTAAAAAAAAAAAGTTTTGTTCAAGATGTAGTTCGATTTGGATCAACTTCTCAGGAAAGGGCATTAGCAGTTTATGTTCAAAATACAAATATATGTCTAAAGAAATACAGAAAATATATAAAAATAAAGAATATCACAGCATACACCATATAGTTTATCCATAACATGCATACATGTCTTGCTATTATGAATATCCAAACACTGTATGTATTCATACTGAGTCTGCAGCCAGACGTAAATATGCCTGCAGACTGTCTGTGTTGCTGTAGCCTCATTTGACTCAACTACGTATACATCCATGTCATTATAATGAAAACAAAAAGTCTTGACTGTTGAGAGCCAGCAATCGCAGTCTGGTCATCATAGCTGAACCTCTATAACTGCACTCTGGCGCTGAGCTCTCACAGTATTTAGGCTCTTATAAAGCACTAACTTTATTTTCAGACTCACTGTCCACACTCTTTGGCTGCTACAGAGGCTTCTGCAGCGCACCTCACCACCAACGCCCTCTCATTATAATCGATCAAATGTTGCTGCCTCATATTACCAGCTGTGTTGTCATATAACTCTGTAGACTTTATGCATTAACAAGCTTTATGCATATAGAAAATATGCAGTAACGACAGAAACACGCTTATTTGGGACAAAGCATTTATTTTCCTACTACAGTACATGCACTGAGTTTCGATGATGAAACCAAGCGAAGGGCCAAACCACTATGATGACGACGTTTGCATTTAACATCACAGACTCTGAGATAAAAAACAGCTTCACTGTAGTGGATGGAGCTGATTTGTATGCACTGCTAAATGATCACCATCATCATGATAACTAACAGAGGGGGGGTATCATCATGAACTGTCATCCTCGTCTTAGCTGTTGCTCCTCCACATGCACCAAAATGCTTGAGCGATTCACTGTAGATTTAAAATAAAAAATACTTTGTATAGACTTCCTGTACACAGCTGTACAGACATAGATTGTCCCCGGCTTTTGGTCCTTTATTTCTGTGCTTCATCCTCCTCTTAACTAACCCGGGGTATCTCTCACTCGCCTCTTTTTGCTGACCTCTCAATGCAAATTGTATGACCTCATCTGTAAATACTGTGTTTATAGTTGTGGCAAGAAAACCCAATCTGGGTAAAGATTTCCTTTCTCTCTTCCCTCTGCGTGTCTTGTCTGTGTAAAGCAATTTAGATATAGGCTTGGCTGTCTTGACCATCTTAAATGAATGCATGTTCTCTGTGTTTTTACCAAGACGAGGAAGGGGAAAAAAGATAAGAGTTTGAGACATTAAAAAGGCTTTTCTCTCAATCAACATTAGGCATTTAAAAACCAAACACATCCTTGCAGTGTGCTTTGGACTTCATTTTAATTACTGATTTTACAAAACTGAATAAATGTGGTTGCTAATTCTGTTAGCTTCCATTCGCTTGATCCAAAAACAAAATAAGATTATGAATTATGTCTCAGCACGAAAGGGAAATCTTCTTGACGGCTGCTTGGAAAAGATCACTTTACAATCTTTTAAAATGCAGCTCTAAAATGTTTGACTAGTTAGCTTCATTGTGCTTTTATTCTGTGTGTGTGTGTGTGTGTGTGTGTGTGTGTGTGTGTGTGTGTGTGTGTGTGTGTGTGTGTGTGTGTGTGCGCGTGTGTGTGTGTGTAAATCATTAAAGCCAGACGCTAAATGCTAACGCTAACATCTAACCTCATTACTAACAGAGCATGCTATTAACTGAATCAATTTAATTCAGAAGCATTAATTGTTTAGATGTGCAGTTTTTAAGATGTTTAGAGAACACTGAACCGAGAATACACCTCAATTCATCGCAAACAACTAAAGGCCTTTCGGTTCTGTGATAAAACAGACCTTTGGCCCCATACGACACTGTAGCATTATTATATTAGTTTGTAGCTCATTTATCAGTTAAGCAGCCTTTATGAGTTTAAAAGGGACTTTCACCCCTTTGAGATTTAGCTCTTGTTTTGAGCTACTGAACTTGAGTTCCTGTGTTTTACAAACAGCATATAGATGGACCGAGAGTACAACTTTTGTTGCCTGTACTTCAAAAAACTGTGATTAAAAACATCGTCCAGATCACGCACCAGTTGATGTCATATCTGAGGTATTACTTCATACAAATCCAGAAGTTTCTGACATGAGTCAAGTATTTACAAACCTTAAATTTAATTGCCTGCCTTTAAGTATCAGTGAAAATAAACCCAACAAAAATGCTTTAAAGTCAACCAACACCTGGAATTCAAACCTGTTTCAACCTAATACACAAATACTGCTTTTAATTAATTTATTTAAGATTTTAAATATTTGAACTCAGGTCTACTATATGCAAAATTATTGGACATCACATGGTATAAGAGAAAAATAAGCTGTTGTTTAGTATATTATTTCACTGTTGTGTGGGCATGTACAGTAGCAGATTCTATTGCACGGTCACTTTGTTGTTTTTGATTGTTTGTCAAACTGATTGTTTTGTTGTTTTTAGTTAGTCAGATAATTTTATTTATTTTTTTGTCATTCAGTCTCTTTTAATAAGAAACTCTGGGAGATTTAATTTCAGAAGAATCAGAAAAAATAAAAAAAATCCCTAAAGTAATGACCCCCTTTCTTCTTCTGGGACAACCAAGCCTTATAAACTTTGTGAAGTGAAAATTTTGAATGTTTGTATGTTATAAAAGAAAACATGGATTGTTTTATATGTTAATACTGCCACAATAAAGCTCCCTAATGAATATATATTGAAATATGGCGCTTAAAGTGTGGATTATTTTATGACTTTATGACTTTGTTTATTATGGTTTTTAATGGTTTGTGTGTTTAGTCTCTGAATCATACCTGTATAAGAAAATAATTATTCTCTTTCTCAGTAATCATCAGTACACATTGAAGTATGAACCTGAGATTCAAGAAGTTTCTCAAAGCTTTGTCTCCCTCATGTGGTGTGAGTCAGATTGCTCACTGTTGGCGTCTCTATGGTGATGTTTGTGTGAGCAACACAAGATTTCTGGGATCCAAGGAGCTTTTACTATTAGGAGCTGACTGCAGTAGACTAGAATCTATCTATCTCTACTAATCTATCTCCACTGGATGAGAAAAAGTCATGTCTTTTTCAAGCAGAAAACTTCTTCATCCACGTCAGCTCTACTACACGACTCTACAAGAGGGATTGTGCTGAAATAAATAGGAGAGAGGAAATCTTTAGGGTAAGACTGGCGGTGGTGTAGCTGTTGTTTTATGATTTTAAAAGACAGTATCAAACTCTCAGTTATATTGAGAATAATTACATAAACAGGAAGACATGTCTGAGACAGCAGGTGTTGACTATGCATGATTATTATTTTTGTGTAATTCATTTAAATGGTTGTTTTGTTTCTGCTGTTTTAATAGGGCTGCGTTGTCAGGAAGGAAAATAATCCTGCTGCACAATTCAAACATTAAATAAATGCATCTATGACAATGGATAAATCTAAAAATCGTGAGCCACAGATGACTTTTCAAGCAGTAACACCAGCTGTGGACACACATCCTATCACGAGAGCAGGACATAGTGTGGCTGAGCTCCTAGAGGATTCTGGGAATCGTAGGCAGCTCATCAACCAGGAGCTGAGCCTTCATCTTCTCAATGACTCTCACTTCAGTGAGCAGCAGAAGCTGAGACATGTGTTGGACTGGGCTCACAGTTTCCTCAGCAATGGGTCAGAGATTCACCATGAATTCTGCAGAGCTGACAGCTTGATATTAGCTGACGAAGAGCAAAGTGACACACAGAATAATTCACCTGTATGTAAGCATTCATCTGCAGCTAAATACCATCATCCTGTTTCCTGCACTGCAGGTGGTAATGAGGTATTAGGAGGAGAAGGAGGGAGTATGGAGGTTTGGCAACTTGAACCATCGAATTATGAGAACAATGAATCAAACAGTCACCTCTGTGCGTGTAAACCTCCTTTCTACAGAGAATCTCCTGAAAATATGCAGCTTCAGGATTCCACCAATAAACAAACTAACAGGCAAGACATGAACTGCAGAAGAGGCAGTCTGTTCATGTTTAATCAAAGACAATGTACCAGCTCATCAGAAAGAAACACAAATCAGTTGCTTGCATTAGATGGTGCAACAGACTTGATTCAAGGCTCCACATCATGCTGGATGTTTGATACTGCGAGGAACCTGAAATTGAGTTATAAAACAGCTGCAGCTTCGACAAAAAGAAACATATCAGGACTTCAGATGGAGCAGAGCAAATCGAAGGTTGAGGGGAAGGTGGAAACAAAGCAGGAAGTTGTAAGGAAGATAAGTAAAGTTCAAGAATCTAGCTCTGCTTCTGTGTTGTATGCAAAGAATAACATAAGTGACAGTGAGCCTGAGAAGACACATGAATGGATGGAAAAGACTTCAGACCTTAGTTATACTCGTCATTTGAAAGTACCGCCAACGTTGACTGTATATGAGCAGTACCAGCTTTGCGTGGATCGATTGCATCACCTCAGAATAAGACAAAGCCAACATGTCGAACCGGGATGCTTCATGGAGTCACCTGCAAAAGAGAGAACAACGTTGGAAGAAATGGCAGCACCAGTTGAAGCACCAGTCCTGCTGCCTACATCTGGCTTTGAATTGACCTCTTCCCCCACAAATCCTCAGACTAAAAAACATCTTAACAAAAGGGTTGAAGAAGCAAAAATTACAAAGGAGAAGAGTTCAGACGTGATTTATAAAAATGAGGACAGATCTAAGTACAAAAGAAATACGGCAACAATAACTGAACAGGGACAGACCAAACATTGTGTCAAGAAAACATGTGCTGCCATTTGTGCTGAGAGTAAAACACATTTGGACCTTGATCACAACAAATGTGGTGAATTAATAAAGGGAACTGATAATCTTATTAACACATCTATGAAGCACCTGGGGACTGCATCTGGTGATAATGTTCCAGCTGTGGAGGAGAGTGCTGCACTCACCCCAAACCCAGGTATTGAATATCATATATGAAGGCAGTTAAACGTTGTACAAATGCCACCTTACGGTCTAGGGTTGTGGTTCCCAACCTGGGGCTCAGAAATGAAATATAATATTCATATGTTTTCATTAGTGTATAATCACCTGAATATAGGAACCGTTGTGTTTTTTATTACCTTAGAATAAGACGTTTTTATCTACAGAAGGGTTGCCTTCCATGTTGAATGGCCATGTTTCTACAGACTAGCCCAGAATGAACAAAAGAAACACTTCCCAGCCCGTTCTCATTCCCACGTACAGGCGCGAGTGGTGTTCAGTTAGTTGCAATCTGCAAACTTCACCACTAGATGCCACTAAATCCTACACACTGATCCTTTCTACTGTTGTCATTTGCCCTTCTTCACACTTCATGCCAAATAGGTGATACAATTAATTACGATAATGATTTGTATATGTGTGTGAGTGTGCATGAATATATTGTTTGTATTTGTCTGTGTGTGTCTTTTTGTTCAGGTTCGTTTCCAAAGAGAATCGGATGTAATGCAGAAGTAAAGTGTTATCGGAGTCGTGTCAAAGGTCAAAAGAAAAAAGCTGGTGGTAGAGGTGCCTCATTGAAACTCTGTGAAAAGTCCCTGTCTTCTCCCAGTAAAGAAATATTACAAAGGTATGCTATAGATAAAGTGCCAAATGTGTCCATGAAGCAACATAATTTACCAAAACATGAAAACATATAGGCCTACATTTAGGGGTCGAGTGCACTCCCCTGATAGGATTAATTATTATCTTCTTTCAAAATCAAAAGCATGACTCTTTCAAATTAGCTCTGCAAAAATTGAAGCTGAATCTGCCCCTGTGTCTCCTGCAGACCTCAGTCATCAGGAGGCATCAAACACACAAAAAGACACATACCAGAGGACAAAGCTAAACGTACTGCAGCCTATAGAGATACACCCAAATGTCTGCAACTTACAAGGACACACACAAGTCTTCATGATGACCTACGACCAACCTCACCAGCCTCGGGTGAGTTCAACAAGAATATTAACACATTATGGAAAGCTGCAAAAAAATGGATAAATCAAACAAGCAAAATCATCAACAAGTCATATGAATAGCTAGATTTTAAAGGGTTTACACTTGTGGTAAACATAACACAGATTTGCTTCTGTTCCTTTTGAGTAATCTTTGTTTGAAATTGATTTCACTCTTTATCCCACATCGTTCAACCAGCAAGTCATAAGTTGAAGGGTATTTTTCATTAGAGTGAAAAAAAGAGTTCTGTTTGTGTACTTGTATTAATCTCATTATAGGGACAAAAATTGGTCCGCACAGTCTCATAACAATTTATTAGACTTATTTAGTAAAGTCATGCAAAAGTAAAAGTTTAGAGAGACTTAAATAACAGCTATTGATGTTAAAATATATATAGAATATCAATATATAATCATTTTTTTCTTTACAGGTGAATGTCAATGTGAACAAACTGACTGCAAATATGTGGTAAGAAATCTTTGTTATATATATATTTATATTATGAATCTACATGCAATATGACTCTACAATGACACCATGGTGTTACAGAACAATTTGTTATTCACAGAATGCTTTGGCTTTCTTTGAAATATCTGTCTGTGTTCACTAAATCTGTCTGTGTGGTTGTCATTACACCTGTCAGCCAGCAGGGGTCCCTGTATGTGACAGCTGGCTGCGTCTGCCTGATGAGGTGTGGCTGTCCATCCTGTCTCTGCTGCCTCAGAGAGATCTGTGCAGAGTGCTGCAGGTCTGCAGCCGCCTGCACACTCTGGCCACTGATCACACACTCTGTGAGTCAGCACTGTGAACATTCCTCACTTGAAAGAAAGAACTGGACTATAGTTTGTGTCAGATAGCCTGTTTTTGATGTTTGGCTTTTTAAGGTTAACACTGGAGTTAATGACTGGTGGTGGAAGAAGTATTTAGATCCTATATTGACGTAAAAGCAGCTGTGAAAATACTCCACTACATTTAAAATCCTGCATTTAAACCTTACTTAAGTAAAAGTGTTTAAGTCTGTAACTATTAGCAACAACATTTACTTCAAGTACTAAAAGTAAAAGTACTTATCATGCAGAAATGAGTCAGTGTTTCATGTATATGTTGCAGTATACTGCCAGGTTGAGCTCAGATTAACTATTTTATATACTGTGTCAGTTTCGGTCAGCAACCTCAGGCACATGGTAGCTTAACGAATGGCAATAAATGTGCAAGAGAGTTTGGAAAAGGTAGTTGGAAAGGTAGAAGTGCCTTCTCATCCTCATGCCAAATGACCTCTTTCACAGCCATTGGCAGTTAGATCACAACCTGGCTGTATGATTTCAACTCAGATGTGGATATTTTCATAAGGATGGCAGCCTTCTTGTATTTTGCTCTCATATATAATTATAATGTCCTGATCTTGGGAGAAAATGTTTTTTTTATGTTGTGTTAAAATAAAAGTAGAGTTCCGTTGGAGAATGAATCTATGGTGTAATAATTAAACTTAATGTTAATTGTTGATATGGCATTTAAAAAGGGCACTTCATATTTAAAAGGTTGCTGACACCTGATCTACAGCAAAGGATCATATTCTATAATATCATTGTTGTGTCCTGTGAGAAGCGCGTATATCTCTAAAAAGTTAGCTTGAAAGCTGAGAAAAACAGCCCTGTTTTCAGCTTTGTGACAGTGTGTTTTCCAGCTAATCCAAGAGGATAAACTGTTTATTTAGCTTAAGACGAAGGATATTTCTCTGAACCTATGAGGGAACATTTAATCATTCAGTTTAGCAGAATATTTTATCTTCAAAAGTGACTAAAATAACTAAAATTGTCAAACAAAAGAAATGTAGTGGAGTAAAAAAAAATACTTAATTACATTTTACTGCTGTTGATGACACAAGTGAGTGGGATGTGTGTGTGTGTGTGTGTGTGTGTGTGTGTGTGTGTGTGTGTGTGTGTGTGTGTGTGTGTGTGTGTGTGTGTGTGTGTGTGGCACAGCACATGGTGTTGTTCCCATGATGTAAGTACTTCCAGAGCTGTGGTGTACTGTACCACTCCCTGGACAAACATACAGTAAGATAACCCAGACCTGCATCATCATATGCTCTCATACCTGTACACAAACTGTAGGTCATTGAATCGCCCACAACAGGTCTCTATACACTGAACACTAAATCCTTTCTCTTTCTGAAGGGAAAGATCTGAGGGTTGAAAACTCCAACCTGACAGAGCAGTGGTTACTCTGTGCGAGCAGACGTCGTCCTCGCAGTCTGTGTCTGTACAGCTGCGGTGGCCCGTCTCTCACCTCCTGTGGGCTGGAGATGTTTTTCACTCTGTGCAGAAAAACTCTGGAGGTAAAACAGTGAATCAGAACCTGTCGATTCAAGTCAAGAGATTTGTATTTTACTTTATGGATCGCTCAGAGCAGGCGTGGAGGATGAGAAGCAGCCAATGGAAAGCTGTTAAGAAAAGGACATTTGATGAAAGCTTCATCCCATGACTTTACAGCGTGGCCTTTGAGTTGTAGGATTAGATCTTCCTAATCAATGAGCCACTGTGCTGTCTGTGTGTTATGTGAAAGATCCTCCACTTGGAAGGCAAACATATTTAAAGTGAATCTTCTGCCTTTTATTTTTTTTTCATTGACACTGAATTTATTGACCCTACATCCTGAATCCATCTGCCTGCTGTCAATGTCAACAAAACAAGAGATGAGATGAAGAAAAGATGCTGATGATACTGTTCATACTTCGTTTTTTAGAAAATCTTTCTTGTTGTCGCATTTTTAAATTTTCCTCTTATGCGATAGGTTCAAAATACATTTTAAAATGATCCAATATACAGTACAAACCTTGAAATCTGCAAATTGTATTAACATTTTCAGCATTTTGCTCTGCTGTGACTAGAGTTTATTATAATAACTTACCATAAATGACAAGGAATTAATCTCTTTCACCTCTGTGTGCCTCTGTAACAGTTAATTTATCATGCCATTTATTACTCACAGGAACTACAGGTCACAAGTTGTACTGGTCCTAGTCTCCATGGGGACCAGATGCTGCCTCTGATTGGTCAGTTGTGTGATCATGTGATCAGTGTTGACGTGAGCTGGAGTGGAGCAACAGACACAGGAGTGAAAGCTCTGAGTGACTGCTGTGCAGGGTCAGTTTCATAATCACACAAACACACACACAGGACTCAGATGATGTTATGTCTTAGACTTAAAATGTCATTGAATTATTTAAAACATGCACTTTTTTAAATCATCAGCAATAAAATGTTTAAGTTTCCTCCTTTTATGAATCAGTGTCTGTCATCAAAAACTCCCAAGCTGCATTAACATCCACCATATAAAATATCTTGACTGGATGGCAGGATGTAGCTTAAACCCCCTCATGCTGCACTGGACAACTAATGTGTCTGATTGCTGTTCAGCATTAAAGCAATACTACATAAGATTTGTTATTTGTTGAAATTTTCTACCTGTTTGTCGTAAATATGCTTTACAGCTGCACACATGATTATATTACTCTTTCACTTGTCCTGACCTGAAGATCAAAGTTACAGAGTACAAGAACAGGCCTATGGAGTGCAGAGTGGGAATAACAGAGGCACCATTCACCCGACAAGTTACAAAGTTACATAATGGGGCTTTAATCCTTTATTTATCTTTCATGTAGGTTGCAACTTAAATCTGTTGTCCTGAACGGCTGTCATGTCACTGATGACCCCCTAATAAAACTCGTCAAGAGACACAAAGAAAGGTGCGTAAGTGTATTTAAGTACTATAAAAACATTAAGTTACTATAGCTTGTGTGATAGTGTTTGAGCAAGTCAAGATGTATCATAAAAAGCATTTACATGTGTGCGTTTGCTTTTTCACCAACCTTTTCAGTGGATAGGCCATCCAGGTATATCAGGATGTGGAAGCATTTTCTGTTTAAATCTGTTTGCGTGTTTTTTCCCATCAGTCTGTACAGATTGGAGGTGTTTGGCTGTCAGTTCCTTACTCCATCCTGTCTACAGACTGTATATGAGGTACTTTATTTGGAAAATGAATCATCTAAAATATGTCTCAAACATACTTTAGCATGTGAACATACTCGTTGCTCCGTCCTTTTGCATTATGTCTCATTTCCTCTGTATGTAACAACACTATAAGTTTTACACTATATGTGTACAGTTTTTCAGTTTCTGTGTTCCAGATGTGTCCTGGCCTCCAGCATCTCAACATCGGACAGGTGCCAAAAGTCAACGCACAGAGCCTCACAGTGTTGACATCACAGCTCAAATGTCTCATTTCACTAAATCTCACTGGACTACAGGCGGTGAGGTTCACGTTTTGTCACTAAAATTTACAGAAACTTCAAAGATTTGTATGGTGGAGAAATTCTAGTTGTTAATTTTCCAGTGCAAAGTCCGAAAATTTAGATGTACTCTCTGTTTTTACTGTAACAGGTTACTGATGCCACAGTGGACACGTTGCTTCAGAAGTGTGTCAAACTTCAGAGTTTGACGTTCAGTTCCTGTCCTGGAGTCACTGACCAGACACTGCACAGCATCAGCAAATACACACCTTGTATTAGGTACACACATGCATACACACACACACACACACACACTAATGCTACCATACCTGTAAGGAAAATGATTTACATGAATTAGCACTTTTTCTGGGTTTTCAGTTACATTATATGTGTCAGGTTTTGGTTGGTAGTTTTAACTAATGTGGTTTTGACATCTTGACAGTCAGAGTGTGCGTTTGTGCGTCAGATCCCTGGATGTGAGCGGCTGTAAGGCAGTGACAGATGCAGGAGTTCAGTCTCTGGCTCTGGGGTGTAGAAGACTCCAGCAGCTGGACCTCAGCTCCACTGGCACAGGAAACAGAGGGTACAACACACGTCACACAACTAACTGAGGCGTAATTTTCTCTGACTGTGTGACTGTATGAATTCATGAAGATTTACCATCCACTGTATCCCAGACATCAGCAATGAAAGTGATGGGCAAAATGTTATAACTTACAGTAATGATGGGGTGTGTGTGTGTGTGTGTGTGTGTGTGTGTGTGTGTGTGTGTGTGTGTGACACAGGGTTACTCTGCTGGCAAATTACTGCAGCGGACACCTCCATACTGTGAAACTCAGTTTCTGCCACGTCACCTCAGAGAATATACTGAAGCTCTGCAGACGCTGCAAGAGGTAAACACACACATTAGCACAAATACTTTTAAATATTTCTAGAGTTAATTTCACAGAGCAAAATAAACAAAATGAGACTTATAAACACTTGAAAGTGACTGTGAAGGTTGGAAAATTGACAAGCTAGCGGTAGATAAAGTAATTCAAACTTACCAGCAAACGGCATTCTTCCACCACTCGTATAATACTGCTTCTAAAACCAAAGTGAACATGAATACATCATGTGTTCAAGTTAAGCTGTCTGGAAATTATGTTCAAAGCAGATAGCAAACTGCTGTATAGATATACTGTATCTGCCTTATAATAACAATATAACAATATTTTAAAAGTCCCTACTCATATAAAAAACATTCTCTCTGTTAAGATGAGCACAGTTTAGGAACCATTCAGTGGTGATAAAAAATAAAGCCTGTCAACACTGCCAACCAAGAATACAATGACTGACTGTTTGGTGTGATTTCTTGGGAAATAGAAACAGATCAGCTGCTAGTGGTGTAATTAAAAAGAGTCAAACTATCTCTGCAAATCTATCCAACTGTTTGGTGACTTTCCTCTGTAGCTAGGAAACCTATAAAAGCACAACAACATAACATATTAGCACACAATTACACTTATTTCCATGTTTCTCTCTCCTTAGGTTGAAGGTGCTCCATCTCTACGGTTCTGCTCATCTCCCCACTGAGAGAGAGATCAGAGAAGTCAACACTGCTGTTAAAGTTTACCCTCTGGCCTGATTCACACACAAACATCTGCACACAACTGGACAGATATACACAACATATAATAGTAGACACTAAGCAATGTCATAACATTCCTACTTTTATATACATATTTGTGATGTTACAGTAATGGGCTGAATGAGGTCTCAAAGAGGATTATGTTCAGAGATTAATAAAATCTATTTGAATTTATCTTCGTGTGTGTTTGGAGATGGATTTCAGATGTGCTATGACCTCCCATCCCGAGGCTCTGTTACCTGCAGGGCATCAAGTGTTTTATCTCAATATAATTCAGCTGTGTTTAAATCTTTTTCAATCAGGCTCATTAACTTGTTATCTTCACCTTAACTGATTAATTGCCCTTGTATTTTTGTTAGAAAAGGGCTGGATTACTCTCTAAAACAAGGCAAGATGCACTGTAGTGTGTGTTGGTTTCCACCAGCTCTCTGTTACATTCAAAATGCATACAAGCATCAGTCACAGTGTCTTCCTCTAGTACAACTACAGAGATACACACAATATGGATGGTATAGTATAATGACAGATAGATAGATAGATAGATAGATAGATAGATAGATAGATAGATAGATAGATAGATAGATAGATAGATAGATAGATAGATAGATAGATAAAAAGTTATTTTATCTGTTTTCTACTTTTGCAGACACTTTTATATTTGTCTTTTTGGTTTCCCTGGAGGGATTCTTCCACTTTGATGTCAGTCATGGCCTTAACAGCATTTGCAACACCATTTTTCAGGATCCTATGAAAAATTGTTTTCGTCAGGAGTGCACGTGTATCAAAAAAGAAAAGAGACAGAGGAGGAGGAGGAGAGGAGGAGAAGATATAAAAGTGAGGTAGCAGAAGGAGTGAGAATCATCCTGGAGCCGTCTTTCCACCTTTATCAATGGCATTTTTTCAGACATGGAGCAAAACGTTTTATTTGCTCCTACCTAACCGGTGGCTTCCAACCAGCTCTCATTCTCACCAAAAGGAAATACAATGTTAAATTTAACTGTCTGACTTTGCTGCACAGTTAAACTCCAACTGGCTCTGGCTGTTTTTATAGCACTTTTATCTGTTGTTGAGTTTCGAGACACTTTCTTCTAGAGCCACATTAACAAAGTCATTCAAAATCAAAAATATGGCATCAACAAGAGGCATGAGTGAGGAAGAACAAACTCGCCTGAGTTCACTCTTTCATGCCTACGATGTGGATAATTCAGGGTGTATTGAAAAAAGTGAGTTCTCCACTATTTGTCAGGAGCTTCATGTCCCGTCCCAGGAGGTAGACGGCATATTCAACCGCCTGGACGTCAACAGAGACGGCACAGTGACCTTAGAGGAGTTTATCAGTGGCTTCAAAGAACAACAACAGGAGGAAGAAGACACTGAGTCAGAGGTGACGAAAAATAGTGAGAGAGAAGTTTCAAACAAGGAGGAACATGTCATATCCAGGTGAGATATAAATTTTTTTTTTAACATTTACTGATCTATTGGCAGAAATAGAATATAGGTATGTTTTCATTAGTGTATAATCAGCTGAATAAGGTAATTGTTTCCATTACCGTATAATGAACTGTTTATACAGACACCGGTCCTCTTCCACAGGGTCCGCCATGTTGAACCACCATGTTTCTACAGTAGTTCACAGCCACCGTAGTTTCTGCTACACGGTTAGAAGGCTGAACTGTACAATTCAAATGGTTGCAATCGGCAAATTCACCACTAGATGTCACTGAATCCCTCACACTGGTCCTCCTACAGTGTATAAAATGTGAATAAATGTAATTCAGATAAAATAAACTCAAAAAGAATAAGGCATAAGGATGACATCTGTTTTCTTAATAAAATTCTTTCTTATAAAAATTCTTCTTTAAAAGTTTTCTTAAAAAGTACATGGTGCTCCATGTAATGCAGTGAATAAGGCCTTTTGAGAAAGTAAATAATTAATCAAAATAAAAAGTAATTTGTCGATTTATAGTCTAAATTTTAATTACAGAGAGATGTAAATTGCATGGAGTATAGTATAATGTGTTTATGTATGCCTCATGTTCTTGCTTTTCTGGTAAATTATACAAGTTCATGATCTCTGGTTCTATCATTTATAAAGTTTATTCAACTACATTACAGACTATTAGCCTTTCCCCACAATGAAAGCGCTTTCATTTGGCCTGAAGCCCAGACTTCTATTGTTGAAGTGAGAGAGAGGAGTGGACACACCTCCCACCACACACACACACACACACACACACACACACACACACACACACACACAGGTACTGATGGTTAGTGTGTTACCTGAGTCAGACACAGTCTCTCTTCTCTGTCCGTCCGTCCGTCCGGCTGCTTGTTGACTCGAAACAAACCGGGATATTATTTGCTGAAGAGAGCACAGGAGCACAAGTGTCCACGTTTAATTCATTTAAAATCACTTAAAATGGATTAACTCGATTACATTTTAGAGTAAATGCCTAACAGCTGTCGAAATGTTTGGATAAAAGCGGACAGTTTGGAGTTACACTTTGTTTGCAGGTGTCCGGAGAATAAAACACTGGCAGCTCTGTAGAGTTTCTGGCTTTTCTCGTCGCCACAACTTACTGAAACGCCTTCTTTTCTTCCAGCCAGCCAGATCCCTCCATCAAGGGTATGAGCGCAGAGGAGCAGGACCGGCTGCGCTCCCTTTTTCACGCCTACGACGTGGACAACTCCGGGCGCATCGAGAGAAACGAGTTTCTCACCATCTGCGCCGAGCTGCAGGTGTCCGCGGCCGAGGCCGACCGGATATTTAACCGGCTGGACGTCGACCAGGACGGAACCGTCACCCTGTTGGAGTTCATCAGCGGCTTCCACGAACGCTACGGAGAGGACATGGAGCAGGACGGAGGAGACGTGTCCGCCGCCTGGGAGCGCTTCCAGGGCAAAATGGGCGAGCAGGCCAAGTTCATCCCCAGGTGAGAGAGTCAGGGAGGTGGCATTGTGCGGAGGGGTGGATGGATGTCTTTAAAATATGGAACTGTTTAGATGATATCAGTGTTTGCAACAGTGAAACGATAGAGATCTCCATAGGAAGAGGCAGTATTTAGAATAAAGTACAGGTGCAGTCGACTGTGTGAAGGGTCCATAGAGCCATTTTCAAACTGCTCCAATACAAAACACTCATGTAACAACTAGTGCACCCTTGTTATTTGAATAACATGCAAATGCTGTGACTTTATGTCAGAAAAGGAGCGACAGCGGTCTGTTATGAGCTGGTGCAAGTGTGTCTGAGTGTTTTATGCATATCTATTTGAGTGTGTGTGTGTGTGTGTGTGTGTGTGTGTGTGTGTGTGTGTGTGTGTGTGTTTTTTTTTCCTGAAGGCATCTAATTTCAAATTGAAGATGAATAAATAAGTTTCCATGTTATGTGTCTGTTCCAATGGATACAGCAGATCTTTTACAGTATAGTGTTAAGAGTTAAAACAAGTTCAATTATTATTAATTATTAATCGTTGAGTCAAAATGTTAAACATTACCTGGTCCTAGTTTCTTAACTGAGAGGGTTTTATATAAAGGTAATCTGAATATCTTTAGGTTTTGGACAGTTTATCAGTACAAACGAGGCATTTTGTTCAATTTTCTACAATTTTATTGACAAACAATCGAGAAAATAATGAAAAAGGACACTTTTGGATCTTTTATTGTTAATATAGAGAATAATCATTAAAAACAAATCCATTTGTCCTTTACTCAAGTCCTCTAACTTCTGGTAAACACATCATTCGCAGCAACAGTCTGATGCTGTGTAGCTTTACTGAAATATGTTTTCTAAACAGAATCTCTTTCGGTAAAGTTATATCTATCTATCTATAGGCTATGTTAATTTAACACATTTTAAACTGTTTTGTCGAGATTCACATCCAAATACTTTCATAAATTGATTTTCTCAATGCCAGTAAAGGAGGGTGAGATAAAAACCTCTATTATGTTGAAACTGTAACCGTACCAACAACAGGATTTGTCATTTGTTTAAAAACCTGAGCCAAGTAGAGATATAACATATTATTAAGTGTGTTTCTCATTAATTCACTTTTTCCACTTGAAAAACTTGCCATTACATTTTGGATGATAGCACAGAGTCTAACTATTAGGACTAATATTAAGAATATTGTGACTATATCAAAATTTGGCAAAATTAAACAAAAAACATTAAAACAACCAAAGTGACAAAACTAATGAAAAATAACAAATTTTATTAGTTTTTTTTTACTATAGTTTGCTGAGAATCATTGACTTGAATAACACACAATAATCATTTGATTACAATATGAATCCACTGAGATACAATTAATGATCAATTAATTACTGTATATGTTTCACCAAAGGCAGGCAAAAAAAAAAATTCTCACGTGTTTCTATATAGAGACTTTCCACACTGAACTTAAATTAAAGAAAACAGTGGAACATTGTCAGTTAATATCAAGTCCTTTTGGTAACATAACTGTACAATGGGCTAATTTTTATTGGATAACAGTGTTAATAACCTGTATCATGTGTTTCTCCACCCATATTGCCTTCTTTGTGATTCCAGTGATGTTTTTCTTTCCTTATCAAAGTGAGATGTGGCCTTATGTAAAATGTAAACCAATGAGAAATAGGTTTTATAAACAGTTACATTTTCGCTTGACTGTCAAACTTTTTATTTATTTCTAAACTGAGATGCTGTTTCTTATTAATGTCATTAATCATTCTTTGTTTCACCTTTGCACAACTTAGGGTGTCTATTGCTTTTTGGTATTCGAAAACATATTCTATTAGCCTTAGGCAGAATTCAATGATGAATTAGTTTCCAGATTATCTTTTAAGATACAGTACCTCTTTGAGATCTGCGTTTCTCAGAGTGTCATCACTTTGCGTTTCTTCTGTTGAGAGTTAGTGTTTGCCTCCCATGATGCCTTATTGAACTTTCCATGAAGGGACCTATACACTGTCAAAATTACAAAAGGAATATCAGCAGTAACTAAGATCAGTCCTTTCTGACTTTAATGTTATTCAGCTTATTAACTTTTAACAGACATCTCACATTTTTAACATTCCAACCTCAACACTTGTTTGGTTTAACCGAAATGTAACAGCACCAAATAATTAGCCAGCTTTGTTCACTTATGCCTTGACCAGATAGTTTCCATAATCCTAATTTAGTTCAATTTCTTACTCTTTAATTTTAAGTTCACAGCTGCTTCTGTTTAGACAAAACAGACAGTGTTTCAGCTCAGGTATCAATTTGGTATTAGTATAGACTGCTACCTATGCCCCCCTCTATAATTGTGTCTCTACATCTGTGTTTGTGTGTTTATAATTGTTTATATAGCTTCAGTGTGTGTGTTTCAATGATGTAGATGTGTGTGTTGGGGGGGGGGTGACCCCAGGCCTTGCATGGGACTCGTCCTCGTGCTGCTGTTCTGTGGCATTGAGACATTGATTGTCACAGTGGTGACATCTGCTAAATACACTCTCTTATCTTCAAGCAGTTACAGTCACTGTAACAGTAGTCAGCTGAGAGACGACAGTTTGGAGAGTGTCTGTTTTTCCGGGGATGAAAGAATATTTTGTGCAAATATGAGATGGACACATCAAGAGCAGAAAATCCGTTATGATCCTATTTATAATTTTATTGCTGACTGAGGCTGATGTAACTATTCTCTGAATCTCTCAGCTGATTGAGACAGTCGCTAAAATTAACAAGACGGCTTCTCTGCACAACATTACTTGTACATGTCCTCTATGCTTTTCTCCTTTGGTTTTCGTTTTAAATGCTTAAAAGTATTTCTTTTTAGTTTTGTAAGTGTGGATACAATGGATGCCGTGTCAGAAGCACCCTGACTTGCAGTGGTTTTCTTGAAGATGTTTCACTTCCCATCCAAAGAGCTTTATTTCTGAAGAAACTCCACTTGGCTTTGACTTGATACTTCTAGATGTTGTATCCTCCTAAGTTGGATGAATGTAAACAGATACTTTGGTTGAGATGACACAATCTATTCTCTCTCATTATGCAGCCGTTTAGGAGGTCTGAATTATTTAAAAAAGGTCTAAATGAATCATACAGGTGTAAATAGTTACTATAATTTCTGTGCCATTTCTTTGAGACGTGCATTTGCTTGTAGCATTTTCTGTCTACATAATATCTTCAGATTTTTCCAGGAGCAGAGGTGTTTTCTGTCACTTTAGATGGTCAAACTGCGATCCTGAACACATGATCATATCAACCTAACAACAGTTTCTATGTTTTTGCTTGTTTGTGAGTCACTATGTGTGACGGAGCGGCGAGCTGTGTGTCACTGTGAGTTATTGACAGACAGGCAGCAGTGTCTATATGCTTTAGCATTACAGCCAGTCCGCCCAGTGAGAAGGTAAACACACACACACCACTATACACTTATATGACCCACTTTTACCATCATGCTGTGTCAGAGGATGCGTTATCACTGTATAATGACCTCAGGGCAAGATACATAAACTGTATGATTAGGCTGCACATGTTGGCGTTAACCTACAGTGTACATTGACACATCCCTCTGGTCTGGTTTCTGTTTTTATACCGTAAAGAAGTGTGTCAGCTAGTCTCTCCACTATTTTTTGTCTTTCATTGTTTATTCGTCTTCTTGGTCAATCAAGAAACTGTGTTAATTAATATATCAGGGACACTCAAATACTTTTACATAGTTATTTGCTTTCTTGTAGAGTTACATAAGAAGACTGATACCACTCTCATGTTTGTATAGTAAAGCTACAGGCAGCTGCTGATTTGCATAGCTTACCTTAAAGACTAGATACGGGGGGGCAACCCGGCTGTGCTGTTATGTCTCTCTCTCTCTCTATTTCAGTTTTACTAGTTGGTTATATGCTGGAATAGTTCTAGTATCTGAGACCTCATCCATCTATTTCCGAAGAGCCGTTGTGAATCTTAGAGTGTGCTCGGCTGTGGCTGAGGCGGGCTGAATGAAGCCTGGTTACTGAAAACAGCCTCAAAGCAGCCATGAGCTTAATTATGCATCACTTTAAACTTTCATATAATTTGAACAGGTGAATTCAACCCTGTAAAGTTGTCTTGAACGTACAGACCGAATAGAAGCTATTTTTTCTATCAGGCTGTAAACACAGTTATTATCACTTCTGTAGCCAACCTCAAGAGGCCGTTCGAGGAACTGCAGTTTTTGGCACTTTGGTGTTGGCCTCATTTGCCAGCTACCAAGGGACCAGTACCTTACTGGAGTCTCCGATGGTTCCCTGACAACTTGTCCCAGCCAAGAAATGGTCCAGAACGTGTCCCCTATAAAGCGATGAATTGTTGTTTCTGACGCGTTTTTGTTTTACACAGTTTTTGTAGAGAGTGAACAAATAAGATATAACATTGTAATTAGATGGGCTAGTAGGTGGATTTTGTCATCTAAGTTTAGCTGTTTCCCTCTGTTTTCCGTCTTTTTGCTAAGCTAAACTAACCAGCTACTGCTCGTGGCTTCATATTAAATGGACATAAATGGTTGGAGAGCGGTGTCAGTCTTATCTAATTCTTGAAAAGAAACCAAATACATTTTTCTTAAAATTCTTTAAAAAACTGTCTACAAATACTACCGTTACTGTAATTCACTGTGTTTGACTCAATAAAACAACTGACTCACAGATAAACTGTTAAGCTGACATATTGACAAGTTGACATACTTACAGCTGACTCATGTTTATTTTATGTTCAATATATAACAGAAAAAACAGGATTCTTGATCTCCTTAAAGTCCAATTTTGATGTCAAATTTTGATTGTCTTCCAGGAACGAACAAGCAGCTACGTTGTACCAGAACATCAGTCTCACTGAGCCTAGACTGATACCTCAGCTTGAGAAAGTCATCATAAACTTCATCAAAGAGATCAAACAGCAGAACTCAGAGATGGAGAACCTGGCTCTCGCCATCAAACGGTGGGAAACACACACATGAGCAAACACATACTTGTCCCCTCGATGACAATGGAACTGCAGAAAATTAGAATATGATAAAACATTATAATATCCTACTGTAAGAGAATAACAATGCTTAAACCAGATATTACTGAATAACTGCATGTTGTGTTTCAGATATAATGACTCATGTCCGGCTGGCATTATATAGTTTAAACATAATTTCCAATAAGTTGTAAATGCTTTTGTCTGCGTCCAGATGTCAGGGAAAACACACAAATAAAATTTGTCAGGTCAGGTCAATTTAATGACTCTAAATTTGCTTCAGGTGCCCTGTGACCACACACAAGACAGTCAAGTGAAGTCCATTTTATTTATATATGTCCAATATCACAATGATAAATCCTCTCCACCATGCAGACATGGAAGAGGACAGATTACAAAGACACAGGAGGCAAAGCTTAAGCACACCATTAACACAGGGAGGAAAAAGGAAACAGACACAGAGAGGGAGAGGGAGAGAGATATCATGCACACAAGGACTCTCTCCTTGAGAGAGAGATTGGAAGATGGAGATCCAGATCAAAAACATCTGGAATGAGGCACTGACAGCCAGGAAAGGGAGAGACAGCTGATGGTCCAACTCAGAGAAGCCAGAGTGAAAAGAGAAGACAAAGAGGAGGAACTAGGGAGAGCAAGAGAGGGACGAGAGAGAGGTGCAGCAGTTTTCAGAAGGTTTACAGTATTTTCATCAGTAGGACAAACATTGACTATAAAGGGTTTATAGATTCACTGAGACCGACAGATAATGGTAACGAGTACATGGCCTGAAGTAATCAAAGAATTAGCAGCTAACTGAAAGTTAAGGCGAAAACTTTTAAGTTTTGATTTAAAGGCTGTCTGATATCAGCAGGGAGGTTATTGCAGAGAAAAGGGTCATGATAGGAAAAAGCGCTACAGCCTGCTGACTTCATTTTAATTCTGGAGGCAGAAACGAGCAGAGACAGGGAGGGAATGTAAGGTTTAAGGAGATCAGACAGGTATGAAGGGGCGAGCCCATTTACAATTTTGTAAGTCATCCGATGTGACATGAGAGACAGAAATCACTATCCCGAGTCAGAGGTTTTACCACTGCAGTGAGTAGGTTCATGCACAAACTGTATGAAACTGAATAAGTATCTAGAAGCGGCTTTACTTGCTTAGAGTAACTTGGTTTTCAAACTTGGGGAATAATTTAACTTTTAGTTGGAACAACGAAGGAAGAAATAGTGGTTTATTAATTATAATTTATAGTGATCCCAGTTTGACCATTGAAAATACTCTCAAATTGAATAATTCATTCATCGTTCATTACTTTTATGTATATTGAATATTGTATGGTTGTCATAAAATCCATGCCTTCTGAGAACCATTGGTCTGTGAAGTACCCTGAACAAAGCAATTCATAGTTGATGAAGATGGTTTTAATACAAGAGGCAATCTGTATATCTGTATAACCAGAAGATGATGTATCAGTTGAAACAAGATACGTCTGTAGACAATGAATGGAGGTTCCTGGCGTGCAGTGAAATAATCCTGTTGTTGTTTTGCAGAGCACAGGACCAAGCATCAATGCAGCTCAGTGAAATGGAGGAGGAAATGGACCAACGCATTCAATTTGCTGAGAGAAAAACACGAGAGCAGGTTGGACAAAGTCAGACACGCAAACACATAAGACCTCCTAAAACACAACAACATGACTTTTTGATGTTGTTTTAAATATTCCAGGCTCGTGTTTTTGTTCCTCTGGAGTTGGCGTAGGCATAGCGATAAGCAGAGCGTGTTTGTTCTGTTCTTCCCTCATGTCAAACAAACGGCTGAATATGAGATCCAAACTCAGACACGCCTGCTGATCGGTGGCATTTCACAGCTCTGTGGATCCCAGATATGAAACAGTAGACAGATAAAGGTGCTGGAGCATGTTTTAGCCATTGGTGTTTAAAGTGATATGGCTGCATATATTATTGATGATAGGAATGGGTGATGTGTGGATGAAAATAATAATGTATAAAGAATAAGACATAAACATGTAACTAACCTGAACTCTTAAATATTGTTTAACCTGTTTGCAGTAAAGGATAAGTTGGGACTTTTTTGATTAAGTAAAAAAGAGTTATTTAATTTCTGTCTGAAAATGAATATACCTGCGATGTTTTAACACAATTTCTTTCATTCTGTGATTCTTGCAATCTTCAACAATGAGGCTGAAATATGTTACTGCAACAGGAGCTTTTGGATAGTTGAATTAAAGTTATCTAACTTTTCCATGAATTATAAACTCCTGGACTGTGAGTTTTATGAAAGCTGGACATATTTCTCGGAATCTGGTGAAACACATTAAACAGTGTGTGAAATGATAAGAATTGATAACAATATTTAGCTTTCCGTGACATAAAATGAAAAGTGAAAACGACGAAGTGACAGAACAGCACAGATCACTCGCCACTTCAAGCTTCAGACCCTCCGATTTACTTACCTTGTATTCATTTATTTTTATCTTTGATTATCTTTCAAACTTGCGCGGAAACATAAACTCTGTCTTATCACTGCGTGTGTGTGTGTGTGTATCAACTTATGTAACTGTACTCCACTGACTCAGAAGCTGCTGTTTGTTTTGTGTAAGAAAAGCACACAGAATTAGAGGGCACTCGTCTGTATTCTCGCACACTGTAACGTATGTGCACACAGTCGTGTTCTGACACCTTTAAGAGAGGTTTTTATTTTTGGAAACTGTAGACAGACAGTTCCTGATACACTTATTGATTCCTCAGCAGCCTCCAACCACAGTTCAAAAGCTGCCCTAAATTCGCTTCAGATTAATGCGTCACAGAAAAAACTGTAGAGAGAGCAAACACACATATACACTTTCATAAAATAATGTCACAAACTGTTAATGCAATTCATTTTGTGTTGGTGTCTGTGTGCAGGAGAAGAAGCGAACAGAAGCTGCACTGAGTGAGTTACGAAGAAGTTATGAAACTGAAGTGTGTGAGCTGCAGTGTAAGATCCAGAGGATGCAAATGGTAAATGTTTCACTCCGTTTTCATTATAACACACCATTAACACTGTAAGTCACTTGTTCCCAACCTGAGGATCCAGATCCCCACAAGGGGCCGCCAGAACTTGACAGGGTGTCTCGAGGTTTTCTTGATTTAGAGGGGGGTAAAAAACTATTTTTTATAGATATACTCCTCTCTGTGAAGAACACTAAATTAAATTGTTATTTTTAAAGTTTAGATTATTATTTAAAAGGATAAGGGCAAGACCTGAACAAAAGTTAACATAGCCTTCACTTTCTCCAAAAGAGCTTTATCCTGCTTTAGAAAAGTCTGCAGTTAAAAACAACCAAAGAGCTAGTAGAACAATGGCCAAACAGGGAGAAGAAAACACTGAGTTTGTCAAAAAAGAAATAAGGTTTTTATCTCTGATGCTCACAGGAAATAATCTTCTCGAAACTAATTTAAAAAAACTATTCACTATTTGGGTTAATTGTACAGTTTATCAGTTATTCTGTGCTGTTATTGTTTTGCATTGAATATGATATGAAATCGGTCAGGAGTAATCAGTTTACAGTGATAGAAAAGGGGTCCCTTAAAGAAAAGCACTAATGTGAGTCAATACTGACTTCTGTGTTCATATTTACAACCCACTTATTGTACGTTTCTTCTCAGTGTTGTATATTTATCTTCAATGAATCAACGTCATATCAGCCCCACTTAAGAAACTTAAATCATAACCCGTATGTAAATAATAGGCAATATGGTAAACATAGGTAAACATGAAAACTCTTTCAATTCACTGGACACTGATTGAATCTTCAGAATTACAATGAATGTGTCTATGCATGTGTACTGTATACGCAGTTTTAACAACAACAATGTGAGTACAATCTGATTTAGGTAAAAAATAACCTTAATCCTGAATATGTGAACTTGTCCATCAGATAGAAGAAAAGTACAACAACATCACTGTGAAAGATGAGAGTCCAGCCTTGAAGAAGAAGATCAATGAGCTAACCCTGGTGAGACTGAATATGCTCATTAATAACACGTTTCTGTACTTCTTCCTGCTCCTAGTTTATAACGCATTCATATTCTTCCATTTTCCGTCTGCAGGAGAACCAGCGGTTAAAACAGGAGCTGCTGAAGTCTCAGACCAAAGTTGCCTGTCTGCTTAGTGACATGGACTCGCTAAAGACAGAGCTAACTGATCAAAGCATCAGCTCTGAAAGGTGAATTTAATACAGTTTGGTCGGCTTTATGTTTTCTTATGAATGCTGAGTCTCTTTATGTACTGGTTCAGTTCAGTTTTGGGTCATTTAAGGAAAGTATTGTTACATAAAACACACATCATCTTCCTCTCTATATACATACACACTCATCACTTCCAGTGTTTACTCTAAAAGTCTAAACCTAGAATTACTGACTTGTAGAGCAGGTTTTTGCCACCTTTTTCTCACTGCACTTAAAGCTGAACGTGAACTTGAGAGTAATAACTACTTGCACCCTGTTCACCATCATATGTAGCTCCAAATACTCCAACTTAGATACATTTCAAATAATTTTTTTATATTAAAAATACATTATATATAAAATAAATGTATTTAGCAGGGCAAATGCACAACACATGTATTGTACCAGATATAACTAAAAGCTATCTCATCTGGAGTCCTTGGGAGGAGGCCACTAGTGATGCGAAGGTTACAGAGATAAAAGATGAATACTAAATCAACACCTTACAAATCAAAAAACAGACAAAATAAAACACCATATGAAAAACAAACTAAGAAACAAAACCCAAGACTATCAAACTATCACTGTTGAGAGGTTTTGTTGCAGAGACATGAAGAGAGAGGGAGTCCACGCCCCCTCCTGGTGTTCCCGGGGGGGGGGGGTGTTTTCATTTTGTCACAGCTGAAACAGGATATCCTGGAGTGACTTCACACACACAATAACTTCTTCAGAAGCGTTGCTTAGCAACAAAAGCAACAGGGTCACCAGCAGGATAACTCTCCAACTATCTCAGCAATGTTAACATTGTTGCTTCTGTGTCTCTGAGGTGTCTCATGTTAATCATAAGTTAGGTTTAATGTCTTTGAGTTGAACTGGTTTCACTAGGTTACAGAGGCATGGAAATACCTCTCATCCTATTTATTGTCAGTTTTTCAAAGTCAGCATGATTTGATTATTGTTAATTTCATCCTCATGATGAATGTGTAGTTCTGTGCAGGATGTCCTCTGTGACAATACAAACACATGTTCACTGGCACTAATTCAGGTTACCGTAACTGTGACTGATAGACTTTGTTTTGTCGCAGAGACGAGGAGCTCATGAAACACTTCACTGATGAGCGAGACCACCTGGAGGGTCAGATCGAGATCCTGCAGTAAGTCAGACAGTTTCATACAGTATTGCTAAGGTGTTCTACTGAAGATGGAAAGAGTTGCTGTACTAATGATTATTTTGCTCTGTGTGTGGATAGGGCAGCCAACAGGAAGCTTCATGACAGCAACGATGGCTTGAGGGCCGCTCTGGAGAGGATCACCAGGGTAAGGCTGCACAGTTAATCCTAAAACAATCAAAACTGAAAACTAGTTCAGTTTCTAAATTGCAAGATGCTGAAGTTATTTCATGCAATTGGTTAGTGACTCTATATAATGTTGGTATTCTCGCACTTCTTTATGAAAATATTCAGTTCACTTTTGGGTCATCAGACTGGATTTATTCACAAGGCCTCAGCATCGTATTTGATTAATCAGGTTTTTCACCGTAAGAAGTCGTGAACATATTTGATATTCTGATGTCTAATCTATGTAAAATCTTTACACTGTTTAAAATGCATTCATTGGAACAGCAGATGTTAAACAGTAACATTCAGAGTTTGGTTAAACAAGTTTTGTCAGCTGCGAACTGTATGTTGTGTGACAATGTTCAGTAAAACAATCACAGTATGACGGCTGATTTCAGGTCATTAACACAAACAAGGGAAAGCTCCTTTTAATCTTTTTAACTCTTTTAATTGTTGTGTGTTACAGTCTGGTAACGGGGGCTCACCAGGAGACATAAAGGACAGAAGCAGAAGTAAAAGCATCTGCTACACATCACCTTATGCCTTAATGGATAGGTAAGACCTAAAGACAATGGGTGTCAATTATCCCCATACCTTCTTTTCTTTCAATATATGATATTATATTATTCCTCAAGCAGTTTCATTCTTCCTTTTAGAAACAACTCAGTAGGGAAACTCACAAGAGTAACGGGTTAAGAGTAACGCTTATATTTAATGATTTTCGCTTTTTACATCAAGACCAGACATTTAAGGTTAAACAGTAGATTTATTTCAGAACAGGTTGAACCAAGTGCATGTACACTGAAAAAGGGATTTTGCTTAAGTACACAATGACAAACATTATATCTAGTTGATGCTTTTGCTTGCAATTGAAGTTTTTTTCTCTAAAACACATAGCTGCGTATTTACATAGTAGTAAAGTAAATGTTTAATGTGTAATGTGCTGTGGGATATATATATATATATATATATATATATATATATATATATATATATATATATATGTAGACAGCATAAAATGTATTACACAAGGTCAAAAGGATATATATCTACATACCCAAAGTAACACAAAAAGCAAGACCAACACAAGAACAACCACAAAAATTATTGAAAGTCTTGTCTAAGCTGAAGTTGACCCACATAATTCTATATACATTTTTACATCTTAATGAGTGGGTAAATTATGATACTTTCTGTTGAAGTTAATTATTTCTCCTTGTCAAAAAAATAGTATCTTAGCATTAGTACATTTACATGTATGTGAACAGGTGCACAAGAAATCCTACATACGTATTTTAGTCTTTTTTCAGCAGTATACAGTGAGGAGTCAGACAGGAAGTTGATATACAGTGAAAAAGTCCCCAGCTGGATATGAACATGGGATGTTGCAGTAGTTTTTGGTCTGATTTTAACATCCTCGCCTCTAAGATTTCTGCTTACACCTCAAATCAATGGAGGTGAAAGGTGGTGGACTATTTTCTACAGAAGAAATAGTAAAAATGGCTCTTGACCAATGCTGCTGCTTCATTGTACTGGGGAAAGTGGCAGAACTTTCACAAACAAATATCTCAAAAACAATGCAAATAAAAACAAAAGTATATGAGGGGCGAGTTACTATGAGATAGGGTTCTCTGTCATTTGAACCGTGTTTATGTCATGGATTATTTCCCGACCTCTTCCTCAGGTTCTGCCAGCGTATGGATGATTACCCTCTGTACAGCCGCCGGCCCAGCTGTGACACTCTGGCCTTGGCCATGTGCGACCCAGGCCTGAGGCGCAGACACAGCAGTGAGTGCGAGGAGGACAGCCTGCCTGAGATCTACATGGACAGCGGCCTGTCGACACTCAGAGGTTCTCATGGAGGCTACGACTCAGAGCATGAGGTAAAAGGTCAAGAAGAGGAGGAAGAGGAAGAGAGAGGGGAGAAGAAAGTGGAGGATGACAACAATGATAGCATGATGGGAGAAAACTCTGACATTGAGGTGAGACAATATGAAGGTCAAGCACATGGACACAAATGTGCATGTTTACCAGGTTCACCATATTAGTGTAGCATGTAGCAGGCAGTTAAGTAGCACTAAACATAAAGTATAACTGGGGCTGATGGGAAATCAAGGATAAGGGATAAAGGTAATTTATTTGTCATTATAAAACACAAAGTTGCACAAGGAAATTAAATTATGACACATAGAACATAACAGGTAATTAAATTCATATTAGATGGATTTAGAAGTCATAACTTATCATCTCGGGACCTTGAATTTACCAGATTTCATGGCAATCCATCCAATAGTTGAGATATTTCACTCTAAACCACAAATGTTAACCTCATGGTGGTACTAGAGGATCACCAAAGTCTGTAGAATTCATCCTCTGGGGACCATGAATGTCTGTACAAAATACCACATGAATCCATTTAGTAGTTGTTGAGATATTTCAGTCAGGATCAAGATGGTGAAACAACTGCTGACAGCACCTGCTGCTGGGCTAACAAGGAATGTGTAGAATATTTCAGATGGCTGCACAGATTTTTAGGTCAAGTGAGTCATTAGACCCTAAATAATATCTTATTTGGTGGTTGATCTGCGATTCTGTGAGAGTTGACACTCTGCTTCAGTCCATAAATGTAAAAAAAACCCTCATAGAAGTAAATCATTGAAGTTAAGAAACCATTTTGAAAAGCTTTGCCAGAAAGAAAATGTTGGTACATCAGATGAGAAATATTAAACCTAAGATGTTTTTGTGTAGCAGGACACCGGTTTCTAGCTTTCAAAAACGTCCTCATGTTCACAGTTTCTGTAAAGGTTGTAAATAAGTGGTAGTGATAGTGTGAATTATGTGTTATTAATGTCCGCTACTGTGTGTCTACATCACAGCCAGCAGAGACACAGGACGGTGAATCAGCAATTGGGTCAGACAGCAGCTCAGTTTTGGACTGGAAGCCATCTGAATCCATAGGTGTGTCCGAACCCCCCGCCCCAACTACAAGAAAGGCCCTCAGTGCCATCAGTGTTCAGGTAAGAGAGAGCTGGAGGGTGTGTAATGGAAGAAAATTCAGTATTGATATTCATGGTCATTAGAAGATCATTCCCAATGATTTTGGTGACGTTCAGACTTTTTTTTAGAGCAGACAATACAGCAGATCTGTAGCCCCTCTCCAGTAGCTCCCTGTGGCTTTGACAGAAAATTATATAAAAAATAACATTTTCATTATCATTGTTGAAGACCTAAAGTCATATTTCCATTCTCCAAATGAAAGATTAATCCAATCACCAATGAGCTGGAAATATGTTTTTGAAACTAGCACCTTCCTCAGAACAAAGCAGCTAGCATTGCTGTAGCTGCTAGTGGATCTTTAGAGTTTATTTTATGTATTTCTTTGACATTTACTGACCAGTGCTGAACAGAGCTGATGATACAAATGACAAAAGTAGTGGTCGATGCTGAGGACTAAATATATTTAACATGAAGTAAATGTGCAGAAAGTAAACACAGTCAGCTTATCACTCTCTCTTACTTATTATTATTATTATTATTATTATTATTATTATTATTACTATTATTAGAATATATCTTATTCTCTCACTTGCTTCCTCTCCAGAAGGAGGACAAGGACAGCGCTGACCTGGGCTACATGACATCAGAGAAGGCGTACAGGATCGTGTTGGCTGGAGATGCTGCTGTGGGGAAGTCCAGCTTCCTGCTTCGCCTCTGCAAGAACGAATTCAAATTAAACTCCAGCGCTACGCTGGGTGAGCGCTAAAGCCAACCCCTTGTCAATGTTTAGACAGAATAACAACCTTTATTGTCCTGTTCTTTCAGCAGACTTATTAATGTTTAATTTCTGTAGATATTCTGTTAATCTGATCAGGTTCTGCCTAAAAATATCTAAAATGTAAAATGTGTCTCTCTTTTTTTCAACAAGCCCAGTAGTGTGACATGTTGGTTGGTTCTTCTTTTTGTTTTCAGGAGTGGATTTCCAGATGAAGACACTAATTGTGGATGGAGAGCCCATTTTACTACAACTGTGGGACACTGCAGGACAAGAGAGGTGTGTGTTGGTGTGAATATTTGAATAGTGCGATTCACTTTTAAATAATTTCTTTGTAAAGCTAAAATGTTGCTGTTTCATCGGATATGTATGCTGTTTTTAATTATTCATTTATGGATGTGTTGTGTAAATAAAGCTTATTACTTAATTTATGTGGCTGCTAGATAGTAAAATCTATACACACACAACAGTGCATAAGCAGACATATTGTAGTCATCCTTTCACAACAAGCAGTAGTTAATTATGTTTAATTTTCTAACTTGCTGTACATGCGTTTGTGTGTGTTGAACCAATTTTTCATCTCAGGTTTCGCAGCATTGCAAAGTCTTATTTCCGCCGGGCGGATGGTGTGTTGCTGCTGTACGACGTCACCTGTGAGAAGAGCTTCCTTAATGTTCGAGAATGGGTGGACATGATCGAGGTAAAGCACAATTCTCCTCTGCTGTATTACAGTAGTTAGCAAAAAAGTTCCAGACTTCAGCAGAATATAGGAAAGGGAGATTTTCTGTAATGGCAGCATTTGTGTTTTTGTTTATTTGAAGGGCTGCATGATATGTTAATAACATCATTGTCATCACAGTGATTATTTTTGACAGATGCTGCGATTGTGATATGATTCACAATTAGCGGGAAGGATAATGTGATGTTGTTGGGTTATGTATCAAAGAAACATCTTCCTACATGTGGAGAACAAGATTTGTAGGCCAGGGAATCTCTGCAGCACAACAGTACTTCCCTATGATGCTGTCTTGACACACACTTTATCCTTATCAAAAAATTGCAGCTTCTTGCGCTTGGTCATATTGCAATTTCAATAATATTGCAATTAATTGTGCAGCCCTATTTATTTGTTTATTTAAAAGATCTCCATTTGCTGATCTTCCTGAGGTCCATTCCTAACACATTACAGGGTTGATTACATGAATTAAAATTACATCAAAGCTAACATTCATGTACAATTCAAAGTCGGGTCAAAACTGTACATACATTTATGGGACACTAATGAGATAATAATAGGGTGATTTATTTTTAATTAGGCGGATATTAAGGTGTAAATTATTCCAGTTTGTTATGGCTCTGTCAATTATGTTTGTCCTTGAGCTGCATAACACAATATGGCCGTTACCGGCTAATCTAGTGTTGTGGTTATGTGTGTTATTACAGTAAACTTGTCACATGTTTTATTGAATATCAAACTAAGTGATGTTGCTTGTTTCTCTTTTTGACATGCAGCAGATATGTAAGTGTTGCAGGAACATTGTTTGGATTGTTTTCTGCTGTTAAACTGTGGGCATGTTCACATTTCTCTGACTTCTTATTTGTGCATGCAGTGTGTGGTTTGTAACATTATATCTCGTGTTGTCTGATATAATGCATGATGCACACCAGTGGTGGAATGTAACTAAGTACATCAAGTACTCTTCTTAAGTACATTTAAGTTTAAGTTTGAGGTGCTTGTACTTTACTTGTCTACCGTATTTCCATGTTCTGCTACTTTCTACTTCTGCTCCTCTATTTTGGAGGCAAATATTGTAGTTTTTACTCTATTACATTTAGTTACTTTGAAGATTTAGATTAATAATACAAAATATAAATCAGCCATGTACACATTAATGATGAATAATTATAATCCAGTAACGTAATATATATGATTCTGAAATGGGACTTTCTGTATAATGAGTACTTTTCCTTTTAAGATAAGATAAGATTTTCCTTTATTGGTCTACATTCAAATTTACTGTGCTTTGATGCCTTTACTGTTGTACTTTTACTTAGGTAAGATTTTGAATTCAGGACTTTGATTGTATTTTTACACTGTGGTGTTGCCACTTTTACTTATGTAAACTTGAGTACTTCTTCCACCACTGATGTACACACTGTGATGCTTAATGTAAAAGTAGTTTCAGTCATCAATAATTTGTTTTTTACATTTTAATCACCACGCTGCAAGTAATGTACAACAATATAAGTTACTTTGTAATATTTTGTTCTCCATTTAATTTTTTTCTTGTTTTTACCTTCTTCTTTTTTTGGCAGGATGTGTCCTACGAGGATATTCCCATCATGCTTGTGGGTAATAAGTGTGATCTTAGACAAGATGGAGTTAACTGTGTTCCTACCAGCTATGGAGAAAAACTGGCCATGGTAATGACAAATAAAAACCCCACTCACCTTACTATACCTGTGAGGACATGTTAATGACCACATAACTCACAACACATTTGGTATATCTGCGAGATATCTACACCGGACCTTGATCCTAGTTTAATCCAAGTATAAATCCAAGTAATAACGCTCAGTGTGGGTTAATGACTAATAGTAAATGAAAAAAAATTATTATGGATTAATGATTTCCGGTCTTTACCCAACAGACATACAACACTCTGTTCTGTGAAACTAGTGCCAAAGAGGGCTCCAACACCCTGGAGGCTGTGCTGCACCTGGCCAGGTGAGACAACCGCTTCAGTCCGCTGAATGTGTAAAACAAACAAACAGCAGTTTTAATTTGGTGTATTTTTGAGTCTGATTCAGAAACAAATTGTCCTCATGAGTTAGGAAAAACTAAGGGGACTATTACTTGACTTTTCACTTGTCAAACACAGGTGTGATTAAAGTGTTCTGTTGCATTCAATTTTGTTTTAGCTGTTCCCGGACACAGGTGTTGTATATGCAGGCTAATTGTTATGGCTTAGTGGGACACTAAAATCTAACATTGTTGATGTCCTTTAGTTACACAATTGGAAATTTTGCCATAGGAAGGTAAAGTATCTGATGAAAGGTAAATTTGCCAAGGTACTATCAAAAACAATCAGGATCACCTTATATATAGTACGAACAGCAAATACTTTCCATGCCAAGCTCTTAATTGTGACCTTTGCTGCCCTCTGGTGTGTAAAAGACCAGAAAGGTTGCCCTGTGGAGTTTTGTTTTAATAAACACAAAAGTTATGTTTACATTCAGTGTTACTCATAAGAATGAATTGTATCCTTGAGGTCCAAGGAATGTTTTGAATGCAACTAGTAAAGGTCAAAAGCTCGACAGGGAACATTTAAATTGATCTACATACATGTTTTCATTGGAGGTTGCAAGAGCCATGTCTCTATGGAGTGACATATCATGAAGAAGAATAGAAAGTGAAACACATGCTTTCAGTCTCATGAACAAATTCTCCTTGAGCACTCATTACGCTCATTTGATTGAGGTCTGTATACTCCAGCTTCTGTCCTGCTAAACCCTATTAGCTGTACTGAAATTGGGGACAAGTGGCAGCTATCTTTATAAGGTGATTCGAGTATCGTTTCAAGTTTTTCTTCCTTGATTTTTTTGTTCCACCTGTTAATCTTTTCTTTCCACCCACAGGCAAGTAAGGAAACAGGCTACTTTTAATGAAAAAAGTCATTACCACTCGCTGCCCAGCTTAGATGCTCCCAGGAAAAAACCCAACTTCTCCTGCTGCACCTGATCAAATTCATCAGAGCTAGACCTCCACATCTGACTTCATGTGAACTCAGCACAGGTGGAAAAGAGACTACAGATGCAGAAATGAGACATGCATAATCTCTACAGCAACCAGCAATGGGAACAAATCATCATCGTGAATGACCAGCAGCAGACTATCCACAACTTCATGCATTTCAGCCACAGCTTGAAGTCTTATTGTTCTGTATTTTATTAATCTGAGAATGTTTAATGTCTGTGTAAACCTCTTGCCATGTGAAACTTCATTTTTTCATTGTACGCATTGGATACTCCAAGCACATCGTGAAAAGAGGAGGACATCTGTGAAAGTGAAGTGAGAAGGAATTGGAAGTGAAGCCAAGCCTATGAGTATGTTTTTTAAAGTGACATTAGTATGTGACGCTGACAGATAATTGCATGTGATGGAGGAGAAAGAGTTATTTTAGCATATTGTTATGTGAGAATGGATTTTTAACTAGTTTTGCTATTAACTGTGGCAGTTATCCAATTACTTCTGAGCTCAGTTATCATCGGTGGAAGTGACGGTTTTGAAATGGCGTCTGCAGCGTGTTGGTGGCCTGAAAGGAAACAGATGTTGCAAGTGAACTGCGTTGATTGCCGACATGGAGACACTGAGAATTATGGGAGAACTCGTCTTTGTTTATATACGATGAACCCTGGTGCAATGTGTGATTGTATAAGTCTTTATGCTAATGTCACAACCCATTGTCTTTTACTATTTTACCCCACAGTGTTACATTTGACGTCCCACTGAGGATGACTTTGTGTTATAGAATTTATATTTTTGGAGCTGATCATACAGCAGATAATTCAGTTTGCACCATTTAAACACTTACTGTTATTTTATTATCTGGTATTAGTAATGAAAATTAGGAATGCATAAAAGAGGGTTCCCAGGAAGCAGAGCCTTTATTTGTATGCCTCAGATTCAGTATATGACACTAATTCTGTATAAATGTGTACATGTGATCTTGAGTATGTCTTATTATTATTTCTTCATTATCAGCATACTGAAGGGTGGTGTATAAAGGTTCAGTATGCTTCAAATGAAATGCTTGTTGGATTCTCAAAAAGTGTCTGAAACCCTTCTACCCAAAAAATAAAACCCCTCCAAATTGGGGGACTGGATATATATATATATATATATATATATATATATATACACCTGTCAAACACGCACACAAAAGGTAATGCTTTTTTTTCCTTAATGCTTTTGCAATATTGTCTTTGTTACACTAATGCCAATAAAGCAATGAATATTGAAGTGATACATATACATACATACTTTACATACACATTAGTTTACTTAGCAGCAGCTTTTGTAACTTATTGCCACTGACAGTGTAACAGCCACATAGTGATTGGCCAGGTTTTATTTATTATTCACACCATTACTTTGTCACTCGTGGTGCTGTACATACAAGAAAGTGCCACCAATGTCTCAAAGGAGAGACGAAGTGTGTGTCTATCTCCCTTCATACAATTTATCACATTTCTTTATTATAGCAGGCTTTTCGCCACAACAAGAATAAACACTTCTGCCTTTAGACGTGTTCGGAAGTAGAAACTAGTTTGTCAGCATCAGACTGTGTCCTTAATTTTGAGTCTGAAAGTTATCTTAATGTGCATGTAGCACATAAGTTATTTATTTCACACCGATTGAACTTTTTGCATAAAAGTCTTTGCTAATGTTGAAATAAGTGCAACTGCAAAGTTACTGTCTTTGCAACTGAGGTATCTCTGTGTTAAAAGTTCTTGTGTCAATAAAAAATATAATGTGAATGTCACAACATCACAAGACGGGTATCATCCAGATGAAACATTAGATCTGTATTTGGAGGTTTGACAAATAGTAAATAGTCCATACTTTTAAAGCCACTTAGAAAGCTCAAAAGCTGGTCATGTCCAATATTGCAGTACTTCTTGATACTTTAACTACATCTCTTATCATCAAAACATACATAGTATCAAAAGTTTACATCGTGCTGAATGGCTCTTTTAAAAGTGTTAGATTATTATATAATGTATATACTTTGTATTATATTGTGTTATTATGATTACTGATGCATAAACACATGCAGCAGTTTAATGTTGTAGTTTAAGATATAGAAATTTTACTTACTTTATATGATGGATATTGTGCCATTAAAACCATAGTTCCTCAATATAACCATAATTATATAACTTTATAGGCTATCATAGGTTATTCTTTCTGTAATGACCTTGAGCATTTTCCGTGATCTCTCCTGGTCAAACACAATATACTGATTGTTTGTCATCATCACCACCTTTAAACACTGTGAAATTTATAGTCAAACATAAGTATAAAATGAAAATAGTAAAAGTAAAATAGAGTAGTAAAAGTACAATTAACTGCAAATTATATTTTAAAAAATACTCCACAGATTTAGCATTATACTGCTACAACATTGTCTGATAGAAATTGATGCAGTAGAACCAGTGATATTGTATTTCTTATTCCATGCATTCTTCTTCATTGCTAAAACCGGGAGCCTACATTACCCACAATGCAACTCGACCACCGATTATTCACGGAGGGCTTTGGGTGTATTATGCTAGAAGCAGCTAAGCCACCAGCCTCAGGTAGAGATGAGGAATGGACTAACAGAGGTCTGGATTTCTCACTTCTTTCAAACGCCACACTCCCAGATTTGTTTAATTTTGAAACTCACAGTCTTCACACCCAACCCCCATTATAAAGGCACAAAGGAGGAGTCAAATCAATAAATCAGATAACTTCTCCTTGGTTGCTGCTCTAAAAGACCCTCCTGTTAGCCATACTCCCCGAGCGTCTGCAAGTGTCTCGAGCATAGCTGTTTGAATAACTACAACATATGTTAGGGAGTTTTGTGCGTGTGTGTGTTGGTGTGTGTGTGTTGATGTGTGTGTTTGTGTGTTGATGTGTTTAGAGCTGGCACGGGTCCCTGTCTCCACCTCCCATCTGTTTACATTGTCATGTGCTTGATGAGGCGAGACCACTCATTTGTCAAACAACATGTGGGGTAGCGGAGGTAGGGATGGGGTGCGGGGGGGTTAGCAGCTGAGAACTGTGTGTGAGGTGTGTGTGTGTGTGTGTGTGTGTGTGTGTGTGTGTTCTGTGGTAACAGGGGGATAATTAGATAAGGGGACTGTGTAGCAGAAAGGTTAATGACAGTAATGAATATATTAGTGTAGAGGAGAGAGAGCAGGTTCTCTTTGCTGTTCTGCATCTGCAGGTTCGAAAAGCCAAGAAAACTATAAAACCTAAAAATTCACATCAACAATCGTGTGCAGTTCTGTGAAAATGAACTATTATTTCCAAATGCCCTCGAAAAAAGACAATAAAGTCTCATATATGACATCTGTTATCAAATATAAACATGTTAAAGCTAAATTTATGAATAATGCTTTTTTTTTTGACTACAAAATTCAGTGTCGGAAATTATTTGAATGACAAAAATGTTTTCTTGCTTTTCATGTTCCAGATTTTTGCCCAACCTTTGCTAAAAAAAAAGAAGTAAGGAAATCTTGAAACAAGATTAGAACCTTAATTAATTTAAACCCTTGTGGCACATGCTTCAAACCTCATCAGTCAGTCTTTGAAAATTTTACACACACACACACACACAGACTGATGAAGGGAGCGGGGTGTCACCATCTGGAAAGGTCAGAGGTCAGAAAATGGGACCACTGGTCACTCAGATGACATCTGGGACAGCAGACTGTCTGTCTAAATCCACCTTCATGTCAGACACACACACACACACACACACACACACACACACACACACACACACACACACACACACACACACAGACACACACACAGTCTGCTGCACCCGATGGATATCTGTCATATTGTTTGTCATGTCTGGTTTTGACAATATCATCAAAGCAAGCAGCCATGTCTGGCAATCTGGCAATCATGTCATGGTTGAGGAGGGAACTGTAAACATATCTTTTAAGCTACTGTATAAGAAACAAAGAGATATATTGTCACAGGGTCTTTGGCTGAAAATGAAATAAAATATTTAAGTTTATTTGATGTAAAGAAGCTAGTTGTCAACAACACAGTGTGCTATTCCACCTCTGCAGGCAAGAGGGCAGCAGCCTCCTATAATTGGCTTATTGTGTTTTTCCTGTGATATGTTGTCTTGTAGCACTAGAAACAGTATTTTCTTTTATGTCACACACATATACATTAAAGGTCTCTCGTTATCAGAATGTGTACATAACTTATGAAAAAGATGTTTGATTGTTCGAGTGTCTGACGAGTTAAAGTTGATATTTCCTGAAAAGAAACACCAAATAATACACACTATTAGCTTCTTGAACCTATACACTGACGCTCTATCACTCAAAAAAACATTATATTAGAGAGGAAATTCCTAATATCTTGAGCTGAGTTTGTGATGTTGAACTTGCCAAAGAGTCTGTGAACTGAAATACCACTTAACTCTGTCTAAATGGACAAGTTTGCAGGTTTGAATCAGAGAAAGTGCCTCTTTTCTGTGTATTTAGAATACCAGCACTGCATTTCAGTTTTATTTTGCTTTTATTTCCTGATTTAAAAAACAAAACATGTTACATGGTGTATAATACTGCAGTAAAAGTCCAATAGTTTCAGTAGAAATCTTGCCCAAGAGACAGATAGGCCACACTGTGCTCAACTTGTCAAAGCTTCAGGAGCATTATAAAACAGTAAAGCAACAAACATTTTTGTTCATGTGATTCAGTCAAATGACGGACGAGACGCCGTTGTTCTCAATGACCGCTCACTCAGCTCTGTAGAAGGACGAGCAGGGATTAGGCCTAGTTGCCGTTTTTATAATGTGTGTTAATCTGACAGATTGGCTTGATTAGGTTAATCTGAAAACGTTTGTGTGTGTGTATTATGTGTAATGTGTTATCGTTTGTGTATCTGCGTATTACAGTTTGGCTCCACTGTAGAATCATTCAAAAAACACATGCAGTGCATCTGAATGAAGATTCAAAGTCGATGTGATGTTTTTGGCGGGTGATGTCGGGGGTTGCTAGGCTGTATTCTTCACTGTGTCTAAACAGCGTTTTCTTGATATCTTGTCAATAACCTCCAGCTGTAGTCGATGTCCACAGAGTCCCTGTCTATAAACTGAATCCCCTTCAGAGAACAGACATCAGTAGTCTGTCTGAGGCAGTATCCCCCACTGCAACTTAAGAATGACATTTAAACCACTAAAAATCGGATTCCATGTGGTTTATCTGAGTCAGAGAGAAAAAAACAGATTATTTACATTCATCTATCAAATCCACTCGCAGTATGCTGACATCTGTGTGTGTACGTGTCTTCACACAAAGACATAATGACCCCCTCAACCCAAACAACAATACACCGATCTTGTCTAAAATCTGTATTGACTTATTGACCAAACTCGTCACACGTGAGAGCAGCCGATATCGACATGTCGTTCACACAGGAATGTAACCTAGATGTAGGTCTAGGTTCAGAGCAGCAGCATCTAGTTTATCACTTATACTATAACTGAAGGTAAACATAAGCAGAGGTGATGCTGTAGTTTTATTCTATATTTCTATTATTGCTTACTACGGCAGTAACGTGTAAATACTCTCTTTCAATAGTTTCCAACTTCTCTCCCCTGTCTCTGGCACTCAAATCTTTTCATTACTGAACATTTAAACATTATAAACAAATATGCTTTTAGCACACGCTGCTGGAACATTGGTAAATGGTTTATTTGTTGGGGACTATTCGAGCCATGTATTAATACACATTTGACGTACTCAATAATTTGTTTTAATCGTTTTTAGAAAACAATAGAGGTCTATGGCACAGAGGAGTAAGCTATAGCTTTGGATAAACAGACATTTCTTACTATTAGGATTAATATATAATGTCGGTTTTGGTGTTTTCATGGGATTTGTTGACAATTAAATATATACAGAATATTGTCAGCCTGTCCCACTTTCTTCCCGACAACTGTTAACAGCTTGTTAGTTACAGTTTTGTTTTTATTTTTCATCCATTACCAATGTAAAAAAGAAACATGTTTTACAGAGATCAGTAGGCACATTTTACTTTACTGCTACAATTGCAGACATCTTACAAACATGTGAATCATAGCACATAAATAGTATCGCTCACTATGCTAATTTAGCCTCTGATCATATGTTCATTCTTCAGGGTGATACTCTAACCACACAACACAACCTCATACTGTCTTTGGTTTATGCAAAGACTGACATTCAGATAAAAACTCAAAGAAATTAACTATATGCTGTAACCCTTACTATATATATGTGTTCTCATTACAAAGATACAGACGGATAGACATGCCCATCAATCGTCTGAGACACCACCAAGGTCAGAAAACATCCGCATCTTAACCCCCCCCCCCACACACACACACACACACACACACACACACACACAGACACACAGACACACAGTGCTACTTCCATTTTGCCTCATGGTTTGGTGGCCTGCTGTTTTTCTGTATTCAATTACACTAAACAAGAAACAATAGCTTACACACACACACACACACACACACACACACACACACACACGACACACAGACACACATACACACATACACACATACACACATACACACAACACACTTATCAAGTGATTAACTGTCAAACTGCGCAGCCAGGGTTCAGCAAAGGTCAGGATTGATTTACATAGACAGATGGAGAGTCCTATTAGTGTGTGTGTGTGTGGGTGTGTGTATTCATCCCCTCCCCCCTCACTGATTGCACCCACACACACACACACACACACACACACACACACAC